AACTTCAATCACATCAATGTAGGACTCACTCTCCTTGGAAAGTAAAAAAGAAGCTCCAGCCCTGGCTGGTGTAGCTCAGTGGATTGAGTGCGAGCCTGCCAACCAAAGGACTGCGGTTCTATTCCCAGTCAGGGCACATGCCTGGGCTGCAGACCAGTTCCCAGCAGGGGACCCACGAGAGGCAACCGTACATTGGTATTTCTCTCCCTCTCTCCTTCCCTTCCCCTCTAAAGATAAATAAATAAAATCTTACAAAAAAAAAAGCTCCAGGTTGACAAATGGTGGGGAAACAGAAATCAACTGGCCACCACTGGCACCATCTGTAGTCATGTAGATGTACAGAACATGAACAAAGTGATACAATGGCTTCCATTACAAACGAAGTCTCCGTGTGCTCACTTCCCCATCAACATAGTAATTCAGGAGAATGGCTCTCTTGTTGAGATCAGAAATTTCATAAACAAAGTAAGATCTGCAAGATTTGGAGGAAGGTACATGTTGCTTGTTCACTATCACAAGCCCAGAAAAAAAGTTAATTATTCAATAAAACCACATCAAGCTTGTATAAAATCCAGGTGTTTTGATTCAGAAAGTCACAAGAGTTAAAAACAAGGGTATCAGAAAATTTAATGAATGGTATCTAGTTTTGAAAAAGGAACAGCTCAACAGGCTGATGAATGAGATCTAAGTGGTCTAACTATAGAAAGAGCAAGATGCTAAAAGATTCTTTGGGTTTATCTGCAGTATTTTAAAGATGCAATAAAAGCCATGTACTGAATTGTGGCAGGGGAAACACTCAACAAACCAAAATTGTGGGCATATGGCTTCACATGTGAAATTTATTAAACATTCAAAGAACTAGTGCCTATCCCTCTTCAAACATTTCTTAAAAATTCGGGAGGGAAGACTCTCAAACCATTTCATGAAACTAACATTATTGATTCGAAAACCAAATTAAGACACGACAAAGAAAGAAAATTATAGGCCAATATTCCTGATGAACACAGATGCAAAAATCCTCAACAACATATTAGCAAAGTTAATCCAGCAACACATAAAAAAAATAATACACCATGATCAAGTGAGATTTATTCCTGGGATGCAAGGTTAGTACCATACCTGAAAATCAATTAATGTGATACATCACATAAGCAAAAATTATATGATTATATCAACAGATGCAGAAAAAGCATTTAATAAAAACCAGTACTCTTTCATAATAAAAACTCTAGACAAAGTGGGAATGGAGGTAATGTACCTCAGTATGATATAGACAATATACAAGTTCTGTCCAGAAAAAGTGCAGCCATTGTTATATGAAACAAGAACAGTTTGTGTGACATCAACGTAACCTGGCAGCCAAGGAGAGTAGACTGGAATGCACATGCATTAACAACGATGGCTTCACTGTACTTGTTGCAGTTGATGCTGTTGAGTGAGCATGTGTACTATGTGGCCATCACACTCAAAATAACTGAGCAGTTAGAGAAACGAATCTGCCTCAAATTTTGTGTTAAGCTTCAATATTTCTCTGCAGAAACCATTCAGATAATTCAGAAGGCTGTGGCTGTAGGCAACTGGTGATTGGCAGCTTTATCGTGACAATGCACCTGCTCATGCATCATGTCTGGTGCAGAGTTTTTTGCGAGACATCAAATCACCCAGGTGACTCAGCCCCCTGCAGCCCAGATTTGGTGCCCTGCAACTTCCGACTCTTCCCAAAACTAAAACCACCTTCAAAAGGGAAGAGATTTCAGACCATCAATGAGATTCAGGAAAATGGGACAGGGCAGATGATGGTGACAGGAGAACTGTGTGAGGTCCCAAGCTGCCTACTTTGAAGGGGACTGAGGTGTCATTGTCCTATGTACAACGTTTCTTGTATCCTTTTCAATAAATGTCTTTTTTCATATTACATGGCTTGAATCCTTCTGGACAGGCCTTGTATGACAAATCCACAACTACCATCATACACTCAATGGGAAAAAACTGAAAATATTTCCCTTAAGATCAGGAACAAGACAGGGACATCCACTTTCACCACTACTATTCTAAATAGTACTGTAAGTTCTAGCCACAGCAAACACACAAGAAGAAATAAAAGACGTCCAAACTGGAAAGGAAGAAATATAACTGTCATTTGCAAGTAACATAATAATGTATATAAAGAACCCTAAAGATTCCACAAAAAAGAATTAGAACTGATAAATGAATCCAGTAAAGTAGCAGAAAACAAAATTAGTATTTAGAAATCAGCTGCATTTTTATAAACCAAGAATTAACTATGAAAATGAAAACCTAAGAAACAATCCTACTTATAACTGCAATTAAAATACCTAGAAATAAATTTAACCAAGGATGTAAAAGCCTGTTATTTGGAAAATTATAAGATACTAAAGAAAGAAACTGAAGAAGAGAAAAATAAACTGAAGCATATACCAGGGTCATGAATAGAAAGAATTAACATCAATAAAATGTCCATAATACCCAAAGCAATCTATAGCCTCCACACAATTCCTACCAAAATACCAATGACATGTTCACAGAACTAGAACAAATATTCCAAAAAGTTTTATAGAACCAGAACAAAAAGCCTGAATAGCCACAGCAAACTTAAGAGCAAAGTTGCAGGTATCACACTATCTGATATCAAACTATACTACAAAGCTATAGTAATCAAGACGGTATGGTAATGGCATGAACACAGACACACAGATCAACGAAATAGAATAGAGAGCCCAGAAATAAACCCACACCTAGATGGGAGATTAATATTTGACAAAGGAGGCTAGAACATACAAGGGTGTAAAGACATCCTGTTCAATAAATGATACTGGGAAAATGGATACATTTAAAAAGAAAAAAATTTGACCACCTTCTTACACCACATATAAGAATAAACTTAAAATAAATTAAAGACTTAAAGATTTTAAGCCATAACACTCTTAGAAGAAAAATAGGCACTAAAATTTCTGACATTTCTCACAGTAATGTTTTTTCTGATATATCTCCTCAGGCAAGGGAAACAAAAGAAAAAACAAATGGGGATTACATTAAACTAAAGTTTTTGTATAAAGAAAACCATCAACAAAACACAAAGACAATCTATTGAATGGAAGAACATATTCACTGATATATCTGAAAAGGGGTTAATATTCAAAATTTATAAAGCACTCATATGTCAACATCAAAAATGCAACAATCCAATTTAAAAAATGGGCAGAGGATCTGAATAGACACTTCTCCAAAGACAACATACAGATGGCCAATAGATATACAAAAAGATGCTCCACATCACTTATCATTAGAGAAATGCATATTAAACCACAGTGACTTATCACCTCACACCTGTCAGAATGGCTATCATCAATAAATCAACGAACAACAAACAACTGAGAGAATGTGGAGAAAATGGAACCCTAGTGCACTGTTGGTGAAAATGCAGTTGGTGCAGCCACTACAAAAACAGTATAAAGTTTCCTCAAAAAATTAAAAATGGAACTGCCTTATCACCTAGTGATTCTACTTCTGGATGTATATCCAATGAAATCCAAAACACTAATTTGAAAAAACATATATACCCCTATGTTTACTGCTGCATTATTTACAATAGCCAAGACATGGAAGCAAACTAAAATAGGTGACTGGATAAAAAAGTTAGTACATATACAGAATGGAATATTTCTCAGCCATAAAAAAAGAATGAAGTCTTAGAATTTGCAACTGCATGGATGGATATAGAGGGAACTATGCTAAGTGAAATGAGTTAGAGAAAGATAAATACTGTATGATTTTACTTACTTGTGGAATCTAAAGAACAAATAAAGTTGATAGAGAGTCATAGTTACAAAGAACAGACTGACAGATAACAGAGGGGAGAGAGGCTGAGTGGGTGAAAAAAGTGGAAGGATTAAGTACAAATTGGTAGTTAAAATATTCATGAGGATATACAGTAGAGCACAGAGAATACAGTCAAAAATATTTTAATAACTATGTATGGTACCAGGTGGGTGTTGGGAACATCAGGCGGAACGCTTTGTAAAGTATATGATGGTCTAACCATTATACTGTATACCTGAAACTAATACCAGATAATATAAAATGATATTGTAAACTGTAATTTAAAAAATACAAATTTTTTAAATAATAAAATTGTGAACTCCCTTTATCTCAGAACTCCCAATCCTCTTTACATCCTATTTTTCAACCGTAATCTTTTATTACTTAACATACTCTATTATTTCTTTATATACCACATCCTTGTCTAACTCCTGTTAGAATAAAAACTCCATGGGGGCAGAAACTTTTTTTAGTTCTTCTATCCCAGTACCTAAAACAGGGACTGTAACTTAGGAGACAGTATTAAATATGTCAAAATGATAATTTCATTAACTTGGCTATAAACTAGCATTCATCCATTTTACTTACTTAAGATACAGATGTTACAGATACTGAAGTTACAAAGATCAGTAAGAGCCTCCGTGCCCTCTACAGATACGCTACTCTCTCAGCACTACCACATGTTTATGTGGAAGCTTCCCGAACCCTGACTAGTACAGTTTTTATGGAGGCATCATCATATAAGTACATTCATTAACCCCATTTCCAGTCCCTTTCTCTTCTAGAGAATGTGAGGTAGGGAGAAAGTTTCAAGCTTCTAATGAAGGTTTGGTCTTTCTAGTAACCAGTCACCAACCTGTAGCTATCCAGAAGCCCATCAACAGACACCTAATTAGAACAGAACATACTCTGTATCACCTAGGAAATTCCAAGGGATTTAAAAGCTCTGTGTCAAGAATAGTGGTCAAAGACCAAACAGTTGAACAAAAGATGCTCCTAGTACTCCCATTATTTAGGAGATTTTGAGTTTTAGGAGGTCTGTACCAGGAAATGGTGGAAAAGACCAATACATATATTTTCTATTAACCACACCTTTAGAATCATATGTTGACCTTACACAGTCAATGTTTGAAGAGGTCAAGAGAAACTGTTTAACTTACTCCTTTAACGTGCTCGAAGGTGACATTTTTCATCTGGACAGGATCTACTGCAGAATCAAGCCCCGTTGTTGTCCGGAAGCGGACTAAAGGAAAGAAAATGTTTATAAATTAAACAGATCAATAAAACTCCAACCACCTTCTTTTTTCAGATGCAAGAAAGCCCACATAACTTCACATACATTAAATCAGAGTGAGAGACAGAAACTAGGTCTTCTGGATTTCTAGACCACATTCAAGGAATAAATGACATCTTCATATTTTTCCAATTAAAACTAAGAATCATATTCCTCTTCTTGTAACAACTACTAACAGAAATGTTAAACCAATGGTTCTCAGAGTCCAGTGTGTTTATAAATCGCTTGAGGAATGTGTTAACACAGATTTTCGGGACAGAGCCCTGCACATACAGGAAAAGGGCCCTGCACAGTTTGTATTTTAACAATCACCTTTAGTTACCCTGACACACTGGTCAGGCAGCTATTCTCCCAAGTATTTTCCCTTATCCTAGCACACAAAACTGACACTGATATTAAAAGAAAAAGGTCAACACTTCCAGTTTTCAAATGAACTTCTTCCTCTGACAACTATTATTATTTGCCCTTAGATGATTTATGAGTACTTACGTCATTAAGTATAAGAAAGACAGAAAAAGTTTGGTAGGACAGTAAAATATTTGAGATCAATTACAAGGAACAAATAAATCAACTACAGGGAATAAAAAGCTTTCTTAAATCTGTCCCCCTCAAGTAAACTACCATACTAGAGCTATAAATGAGTAAATGATGAATAAATGAGTATAAATGAGTAAACTGATGAATTTCTAATTTCCTCAGAATAAGTAAAATATATGGTCTTTAAAACAGATTGAAATATAAAAGCCAAAAATGAGTAGGCAAAAATATAGAGTTAACAAGAAACACTTAACATATCAAAAGACACAAGTCAGGTCCTGGCCAGGTGGCTCAGTTGGTTGGAGCACTGTCCCATACACCAAAAGGTTGCAGGTTCAATTCCTGGTCAGGGCACATACCTAGACTGTTAGATCTCTGGTTGGGGTGCATAGAGGAGGCAAGCAACTGATGCTTCTCTTTCACATCAATGTTCGCATCAATGTTTCTCTGTCTCTCCCTTCCTCCCTCTCTACAATTAATAAACACATCCTTGGTGATGATTAAGGAAAAAAGAACATACAAGTTGGAAGAGCAATTTAAAACAGTAATTCTAGAACAGACATTAATTGCTTTAGCCCACTAAATTACTTGTTTAAAGATGTAGGCAGATAGACTTAACAAATAATCCATATAAATTTGCAGCAGGAACACTTGGACCTAATAAGAAAAACTACAGTAATTTCCCAAAGGCAGTGATTGTCATACTGTAATATATATTTTGCTTAATATAAGACATCAAGCAAGAAACAAAAGAATAATCAGAGCGCGTGCCATCCCCTCTACCAACCAACCAATATTACTCTATCACCCCTATGCTGGTTCTTTTTTGAAAACAGAAGGAAACAAGAGATGGTGAATCTAGATATAAGAACTATTCCTGTATGTTAAAACCTCATCTTAGGCCCTGGCTGGTGTAGCTCAGTGGATTGAGCATGGGCCTGTGAAGCAAAGGGTCGCTGGTTTGATTCCCAGTCAGGGCACATGCCTGGGCTACAGGCCAGGTCCCCATAGGGGACACATGAGAGGCAACCACACATTGCTGTTTGTCTCCCACTCTTTCTCCTTCCCTTCCTCTCTCTCTAAAAATAAATAAAATATAAAAACAAAACCAAAAAACCCTCATCTTAGGTTTCATGCTACGAAAAAATTTTTTAACTATCTTGGGCTGTATGTAAGTTCTGGGAAGTCCTGACCCAAGTAAATTGATGTTCTTAATTGTACCTTAGCTGTTTCCTCTCAAAATGATCACAAAGAGAAGAGAACACGGGGTAAAAACTAAATGGCAGTTGAAAGGGCAATCAGAACCACTTAAACCTCACATTACTACTTCACTTTAGACTGGCAAACTGAAGAAGTACAGGACATCAATCTTTAAATAAAGTTAATTTATCAATTTGTCTTTAAAATAGAATCTGTGTCACTTTGTGCTATTATAAAATTCTGCTAAATGGTTTTTTAATTTAATAATTGGACAGGTATTATTTTCTAAAAATCTAGAAAACCAACCACTACTAGAAGATGAAATAACATTTTCACTCTAACACAATCCATGGAACTTTCACAAAAATGTTATTTTCTCAAAATGGGTTAAACTTAAATTTTTACAGTGCCTAAAGAAACTTTTCTTATAATCCGCAGAACAATGTAAATATAACAAGTCCTCTGACATGGCAGATAGTACACAATTATAAGAGATTAAAACTTTTCTACTTTAATGCAAAAAAAAAAAAACCCTCAAAGTGAACCAATCTGAAAAGTCTTGAATTACAAATGAAAGGCCTAGATCCTAGACTATAAACATGTTTTATGATGTTTTTTTCTCTAAGTCTTAACTAGACTATGAAAAAGAAATGAGAACGTAAAAGATCTTTTTTAATTAAAGTAATGTCGGGTACATTACAAGAGCCTTTACCAGATAAAAATGGGTTTTTTAAGAGTCCGTAAATGCCAAACAGCAGCAGAACAAAGAGAATCAGACGAGTTCGCCTTAGAGAATCTGGTGGAAAAAAGAAAAAGTCTTCAATCAGATGATATCAATGAGAAATGACAGTTCAATGAAATGTAAACATTAGGTTACTGATGGAATCGTATTTCATCATATGCAATTTTAGAACCTGGTGTTCTTTTGCATAATTGCCATGATATACTTTCAGCATCCTGCCAAGGAGTTATTTCCATTTCTATACAGGTTCAGTTATAAATATAATAGAATATAACCAAAGGAAAGATGGATAACAAATAGAAAAGTTATGCATAATAATTTGAAGGTAGGACTATGACTTTAAGATATTATCTTCAAACATGAATGTCAAATTAGCTTACCATTGGTTTTTTGTGTTAGTGCTTGAGCTTTCAGAAAACCCTCTGCAAAACCAGTTTTAAATGCATCTTGATGAGCTTCAGGTATGTTTTTTGTTTTCATGAGTTTGTCCAAAGTCTCAACATCTGATCCCCTGTCTCGCAAAAGAAATCCCTAAATAACAAACAACACAACGGTACTGATTGACTGTACAGGCAATAACACCCACCAGAAACATTCTGACCACTTACACACACAAAATTCACTGAAATTCTAGAATTTTTAATTTTACTGTCAATGTGACAAATGTTATTAGAACTCAATAATGCATTACTTAATCAATGGATAGAAAATCAACACTGGATCCAATAACCATATCAATCAATTACTATAAAGAAATTCTGTAAGAACACTGTAATGAAAACAGGTCAACTTAGGGTTCTAAGGGCTTGATGTTTACACTCCTTTAACTGTACTACAGGAAAACTTCATTAGTATATTAAATGTTTACTGAGCACATTTCATGCAGCTGGCACTGTGTAGATTCTGAAGATGCAAAGACGTATGAACAATGATCTGAATGTTTTCCATCTACTGAGGAGAGGTACATAAATAAAGTTTTGATATTATATTATAAGTACAAGGTATGGTGATAGAGTAAATGCTACCTAATACCTAAGAAAGTCAAGGAAGGCCTTCCAGAGATGGGACATCTTAGCCACAGAGCACAATCAGCATAAACATTGACAAAAGCCTGAAACAGCCTTTAGTGGTGAAGAACTATAAGCAATCTTCTATCACAGAACTTTAAGATGCCACGAGAGGAAGGGAAGGGGTACAGACGGGGCTACACAATGAGAGATGCAAACAGAAAAATGGTAGGCAGAGGACACATGATAACATCCTCTGCATACCATGGCAGGTGACAATAAAGCAGAGGAATACAATTATTCCATGTAATGCATTTTAGAGACAGGTGAGTAGCAGTCTGGAGGCTAAATTGAAATTAAAAGGCATAGAGATTACATGAGTGTCTATAACCATTTCTTGCCTAGATCACTCTAATAGTCTGTCTATGCAATAGAACTAGGTGGGAATAAAAAGAGAGATTTAAGAAATATTTAAGAGGCTGGATCAATAGGATTTTAGTGATCAACAGGAGTTAGTGATTAATGGATGTAGGAGTAAAGAGAAGCTGGGCAAATCAAAGTTGTTCAGCAGGCTTCTAGTTTGAGTGAATGCCACTTCTAAGCAGGTGTAGGTTGGTAGGAAGAAAAAACAGAGGGAATATTTCTAATAAGCCAATGGAGAGACAGGTTTTGCACCCAGAAGAGTTGTAGTTATGATTACATGGGTTATTCATCCTTTCCTGTAAGTAAAAAAAAAAAAAAAAAAAAAAAGAAAGGGGGAGAATCAATCAGACTACAAAAAAAACAACAAAACAGATACTGAAAGGCAAAAAAAAGGTCTAATTACCTTCACAAATGATGGTGCTATATACTGTGTTTCTGCTAATCTTTCAGAGGTGGACTGTAGGCGTCGTGTCCTTGATTTTAACGTTTTAAAACCCCGAGACTGTATAAAAACTAAATGAAACAATATCACATTTACTTCTCACTGTGAATTTTTACAAGGAAAGAATAATGCCTAAGATTCAAAACGCTGACAACCTATCTGTACATCCTAGGTTTCTGTCTTGTTTTTTAACACAGTTCTTTCCCTGACACTTCAACACATTGTCATTAAAATAAACTTAATCTACATAATTAACTTTACTTCTTTTGATAATTTAAAAATGTTTTTAAAAAACCCCATAGATGGTGCCCTGGCTGGTGTATCTCAGTGGATTGAGTGCGGACTGTGAACCAAAGGGCCGCTGCTTCGATTCCCGGTCAGGCACATGCCTAGGATGCAGGCCAGGTTCCCAGTAGGGGCCATGTGAGAGGTAGGCACACACTGATGTTTCTCTAACTCTTTCCTTCCCTTCCCCTCTCTCTAAAAATAAATAAGTAAAATCTTTGAAATAAATAAATTGTGCAAAGCAAATTCATAGTAAAAAAAATATATATGAGTATCAAATAAGTAATTGTTCCCTAATTTCTCAAATCCCACTCCTATTTCCTGTAAGTAATCTCTAAGTTAGTAATTCCATAACTATACTTCTATGTACTTAAACACATCTTCTCTATAAAAATAGTATGTAGCTTTCTGCAATTGTCTTTTTTTAATTTACTATATTATGGACATTTGTCGAGATAGGTCAGATAGTACATTTGATTTACTGGCTGTTTACCTTTCCAATTTTTATCTAAGCATACCAATTTATTCAACCATTTCCCTACTCCCAACATTAGCTGTTTCCTATCTCTGTCTCTCTTTTTTTTTAAAGATTTTATTCATTTATTTTTACACAGGGGAAGGGAGTAAGGAAGAGAAACATCAATGTGTGGTTACATCTTACGCACGGGCCCCCCACCGGAGACCCGACTGGCAACCCAGGCATGTGCCTTGACTGGGAATCGAACTGGTGACTCTTCGGTTCACAGGCTGGCACTCAATCCACTGAGCCACACCAAAAAGGCAGTTTCTTATTTTTTTTCTTGTATATATGATCTTTCAGTATAGATAGACTAAATTCCTAAAAGTGAAACTGTAAGGTTTACAAGATTTAACACTAAGGAATTCCTGTCTATAACATTATTATCCATTTATATGCCTACCAATGAATATGATGATCCTTTTCTCCATAGCCTTTGCATCAATGGATAATATAAATCTTATTAATTTGTACTAATCTGATGCACAAAAAGAAGTACCTTGTTTTAATCTGCATTTTGGGTTAGAATTGAGAATAGAGAGCTTTGAAAAATATTTTTATTTTTGTTGAATGTTTTTATCCTTTAGTGAACTGACTATTCATTTACAGACATGTTCAATTATAGAATATGGGCGTCATGTATACTAACTTTAGTTACATATATTTTAAACATTTAATGTCTTTCTCTTTCAATTAAGTGATACAGTAATTTATAAAATTGATGCAGCTCTCTTAATTTGTAGTTTTCTGCACTGTATTTTGATTAGAGTCCCATCCACAAACTATGATTTTAAAGGTGGTCTACTGACTTCATCTGATACTTTATATTTTTTTCTCTTCAGACCTTTACCTATTTGGAACTTCTCTTTTAATGTAAGAAAAGAAAGTAATTTTTATAATATATATCAAAGTTTAAAATCCACTTCTTGATTTTCATAACAAGTCTTTAGGATTTTATTGAAATTGTACTAAATTGATAAATTTGGGTGTATATTGATACAGTTATAACACTAAGTCCTTCCAAAAAGAATTATGATACTTTTCTTTTTATTTTACTCAGCTCATCTTTTATTTCCTTCAGTGGACTTTTCTATGTATATACGTATGTGCATATACATTATGTTGCATGTGTAAGAATAAAATATTAAGTGGGTTTTGGAGAAACTGTACATAAAACCTTTTGCTAGAATTAAAGAAAGCTACTGATTTTTAAAAAATATTTTATTTATTTATTTTTAGAGGGGAAGGGGAGGAGACGGGGAGAGAAATATCAATGTATGGTTGCCTCTCGTGGGTCCCCTGCTGGGAACTGGCCCGCAACCCAGGCATGTGCCCTGACTGGGAATCGAACAGCGATCCTCTGGTTCGCAGGCCTGTGCTCAATCCACTGAGCTACACCGGCCAGGAGAAAGAAAGCTACTGATTTTTATGCATTTATCTCATATGGTACCAATGTAATAAAATATTACTATTTCAGTAGCCTTTCAGTTGATTTTCTTGAAATTTTATGGTAAATAATCATATCATTGCTAATTATAATTCTCCCCCTTCTGCTAACTTATACATAAATTCCTTCTTTTTCTTTTCAATTACACTGCACAGAACCTCCGAATCAATGCTGCACAAAAACAGGACACTAAACATCTTGTTCTTAATTGATATCCTAAAGAAATTAATTTTTTCAAGTATATTTCATTGATTATGCTATTACAGTTGTCCCACGTTTTTTCCCCTTTGCCCCCCTCCACCTGAGACCCCCTTCCTTCCAGCAATCCCCCCCCCCCCAGTTCATGTCCATGGGTCATGCATATAGGTTCTTGGGCTTCTCCATTTCCTATACTATTCTTAATGTGCTCCTATTTTGCACCTAACAATTATGTCTTTTCATTTTATTTATTTATTATGAGACACAGGGAAAGGGAGGGAGAAAGAGGAGAGAAACATCGATGTGTAAAAGATACATGGATTAGTTGCCTTTTACACACCCCCAACTGGGGACATGGCCCAGATTGGGAATTGAACCCACAACCCTTCGGTTCACAAGCCAGCACTCAATTCACTGAGCCACACCAGCCAGGGCCAATTATACTTCTTAATCACTGTGTCTTTTCCCACATTTACTCCCTTTCGCCTCCAGCTGATAATTCTCTATATAATCTCCATATTTATGATTCTCTTCTTGTTCTAGTTGTTTACTGAGTTTTTCTGTTTTTGTATATTTTAGGTTAGGCCATTGACAGTTTTGAGTTTGTTGTCATTTTACTGTTCATAGTTCTGATCTTTTTCTTAAATAAGTCCCTTTAATATTTCATATAACAAGGTCTTGGTGATGATGAACTCCTCTTTAGCTTTACCTTGTCTAGGAAGCATTTTATCTGCCCCTCCATTCTAAATGATAGCTTTGATAGTAGATTAATCTTTGTTATAGATAGATCCTTGCTTTTCATCACTTTGAATACTTCCTCCCGGTCCCTTCTGTTCTGGAAAGTTTCTTTTGAGATATCAGCTGATACTCTTATGGGAACTCCTTTGTAAGTAACTATCTGCTTTTCCCTTGCTGCTTTTAAGGTTATCTCTTTAACTTCTAGCATTTTAATTGTGATGTGTCTTAGTGTGCCCCTCTTTCTGTCCAACTTTTTTGGGACTCTCTGTGCTTCCTGGCCTTAATTCCTTTGCCAAAGTAGGGAAGTTTTCATTTGTTATTTTTTGAACTAAATTTTCAATTTATTGCTCTTCCTCTTCTCCTTCTGGCACCCCATGATACAGATGATAACACTTTTTGAGATGTCCCAGAGTTGTCTTATTCTCTCATTCTTTAAATTCTTGCTTCTTCATTCCCTACTGGTTGACTGTTTATTTCCTCATGTTCCAAATCCTTGATTTGAACACCTCCATCCTTCCCTTCACTGTTGGTTCCCTTGGATTTTTCTTTATTTCACTTAGTGTAGCCTTCACTTCTTTCCTTATGCATTTGCCAAACTCAATGAGTTCTCTGAGCAACCTGATCTCCAGTGTTTTGATCTCCAGTGTGTCTCCCCAACAAACTCTCCTATAAGGCTGGGAGTTTCTCCCACCACCTGAACCTGCACAAGTTTTTTCCAATCAGAGGTTTTGAAGGTTTATTTCCCCACACTGGAACCCTGGGTTGCGCGGTCTCTCTTGCTTCCCAGTTGTCCTCCTGGTTTAACTTCACACAAATGTGGGACCACCCACTCCACGAGATGCTGACTTGCCCAGTCCTCAAGCCACCACCTTGCCTGTACTGGTCTTCTAGCCACTGCCTTGCCACAAGTCCTCTCTGCCCCAGCTGCCTGCCCCTCCTACTGGTCTGGATGAATATTTCTTCTCTCGCTCCTCGGTTGTCACACTTACATAAAGTTAGATTTTTTCTGGAAGTTACGATTTTTTAAAATTTTTTGGTTTTTTAAAGTATATTTTATTGATTATGCTATGACAGCTGTCCCATTTTCCCCTCTTCATTCCCCTCCACCCTGCACTTTCTCCCACCCACACTCCCCCCGCCTTTAGTTCACGTCCATGTATCATAAGTTCTTTAGCTTTTCCATTTCCCATACTATTCTTGCCCTCCCTGTCTATTTTTACCTACCATCTATGCTACTTATTCTCTGTACCTTACCTTATCTACCTATCTCCTCCTCCCGCTCCCCTGTTGCTAACCCTCCATGTGACCTCCATTTCGGTGGTTCTGTTCCTGTTCTAGTTGCTGGCTTAGTTTGTTTTTGCGTTTTAGGGGTGGTAGTTAATAACTGTGAGTTTGCTGTTCTTTTACTGTTCATATTTTTTTATCTTCTTTTTCTTATGTAAGTCCCTTTAACACTTCATAGAATAAGGGCTCGGCGATGATGAACTCCTTTAACTTGACCTTATCTGAGAAGCACTTTATTTGCCCTTCTACTCTAAATGAAAGCTTTGCTGGATAGAGTAATCTTGCATGTACGTCCTTGCCTTTCATGACTTGGAATACTTCTTTCCAGCCCCTTCTTGCCTGTAAGATCTCTTTTGAGAAATCAGCTGACAGTCTGATGGGAACTCCTATGTAGGTGACTGTCTCGTTATCTCTTGCTGCTTCCAGCATTCTCTCCTTCATTTTTATCTTGGCTAATGTAATTATGATGTCCCTTGATGAGTTCCTCTTTGGGTCTATTTTCTTTGGGACTCTTTTGAGCCTCCTGGACTTCCTGGAAGTTTATTGCCTGTGCCAGACTGGGGAAATTTTCCACTTGTTGCTCTTCCTCTTCCCCTTCTGGTACCCCTATGATTCGGACATTGGAACATTTAAAGATGTCCTGGAGGTTTCTAAGACTCTCATTTTTTTTGAATTCTTGTTTCTTCATTCTTTTCTGTTTGGTTTTTTCTTCCTTCTGGTCCACTCGATTGACTTGAGTCCCAGTTTCCTTCCCATCACTATTGGTTACCTGTGCATTTTCCTTGATTTCGCTTAGTGTAGCCTTCGTTCTTTCATCTAAATTCAACCAATTTTGTGAGCATCCTGATCACCAGTGCTTTGAACTATGCATTTGATAGGCTGGCTGTTTCTTCATCACTTAGTTGTGTGTTTTCTGGAGCTTTGATCTGTTCTTTCATTTTGGCCAAAAAAAAAAAAATAATAATAACAATAATTTTTTTTTTGGTATTGACATGCCTGTTACGCAGTAAGAGGCAGAATCTTAGGTATTCACCACAGTGGGGCAACCCCCATCACTGGGTTGTTATGCTGTATGTGGGGGAGGGGTCCAAAAGAGAACAATGGCACTTGCTCTGCTGTCTGTCAAATTTCAGTCCCTTCTAACCCTTCCCCCAAGCAAGCTGGGCCATTCTGGTGCTGATTCTCAGGTGGGTGGGTTCATGTATGTTCTAGGACCCTGTAGGTCTCTCCAACAAACTTTTCTGTGAGGCTGGGAGTCTCTCCTGGCACCTCAACCCCCATAGGTGTTTTCAATTGGTGTTTTGAGGCCTTATTTTCCTGCACTGGGACTCTGGATTGTGTGATCTGTCTTGCTCCCCAGTTTTGCCTGGTTTATCTGCATGCGAATGTGGGACCGCCTGGTCCGTTGGCTGCCTTGTGCGCCATGCCCAGCTTGAAAATCGCCACCTCACTGGGTCTGCCCTTTGCCACTCCATGCCCGGGTTCTGTCAGCCACCCCTTGTATGCCCGGGGTTGGTCAGCTGCTGCCTTGTGTGCCCAGTGCCACTGCTTTTTGTGTTGCGACCCCTCTCCGCCCCTCCTACCAGTCTGGATGAATGTGCCTATTTTAACTCCTCGGTTGTCCTATTTCCACACAGTTCAATTTTCTGTCAGTTCTGATTGTTATTTTGTTTCTAAATTGCTGTTGTCCTTATTTGGGTTGTGCGAGAGGTACAGTGTGTCTATCTATTCCTCCATTTTGGCAGGAAGCTATTTTTTTGTTTTTAAATCTGTTGTCCTTTTAGTTGTGCAAGAAGTTAAACTGTATCCACCTATGCCTCCATCTTGGCCAGAAATCTGTATCACACACCTTTTAATCACAGACCGCAATAGCATTACTTTTCTTCTGCAGTCAATTAACATGAAAACATACTTCTTTCTTGTGCTCCTTTATTTTAATTCTTAACACATTCTAAAGTTTTTCAGAAATATTTATAATTTCTATATGTAGAATTTCTTTCTTTCTTTCTTTCTTTTTTAAAGATTTTATTTATTTATCTTCAGAGGGGAAGGGAAGGAGAGAGGGAGAGAAATATCAATGTATGGTTGCATATCATGGATGCCCTGCAGGGAACCAGCCTGCAACCCAGGCATGTGCCCTGACTGGGAATTGAACAGCGATCCTCTGGTTCACAGGCCTGCACTCAATCCACGCGCTACACCAGCCAGGCAGAATTTCTATCAGCAAAATTGATCCTTTTTATCTTCTTTGTTGCTAATATTCTAGTATCAGTCATTTTATGAAACAAACTGGGAAGCCTATTTTACCTTTTCCTTACTGAAAAAAATTTTCCTAATCCTAGAAAACAAAATGTAGCCATAAGCCCTGGCTGGTGTGGCTCAGTGCATTGAGTGCCAGCCTGCATACTGAAGTGTTCCCAGTTTGATTACCAATCAGGGCACACCCCTAGGTTGTAAGCCAGGTTCCTAGTAGGGTTGCCTGAAAAGCAACCACTCACCGATGTTCCCTCTCTTTCTCCCTCCATTTTCTCTGTCTAAAAATAAATAAATAAAATCTTTTATAAAAATGTAGCCAGAAATCCATCTGAGCCTACTTCCTTTGGGACAAAAGAATTATGCTTTAAAACTATTACCTTTTATGCTGGCTGGTGTGATTCAGTGGATTGAGAACCAAAGGTCACCAGCTCAGTTCCCAGTCAGGGCACATGCCAGGGTTGCAAGCCAGGTCCCCAGCTGGGGGTGTGTGAGAGGCAACTGAGAGATGCATCTCCCATACATCAATGTTTCTCTCCTTCTCCTTCTCCCTCCCTTGCTCTCTTGAAAAGTAAATATATAAAATCTTTAGAAAAGAAAAATCTATAACCTTTCAAATTTTATGATTACTATTTTATCTCTTACTGAGTCCATTTTGCTAATTTGTAACTTGGATAATTACCCATTTCAACACATTTTTATTTGTAATATAAAATTACACAAAGTACCTTGTAATTTTTAAAAGTTTTATTACATGTGTCTCAGGTGCACTGTATCATTTGACTTCTGTATATACTACAAAGTGACCACCCCTCAAAATGTAGTTACTATCCATCACCATACAATGAACACCCTTCACCCCTTTTGGCCCACCTCCCTACCCTCTTTCTCTCTGGTAACCACTAATACGTTTTTTTGGATCTATGAGTTTTTACATTCTTTCCTTGTTGATTTGTTTTTCAAGATTCCTATATGAGTGAAATCATACAGCATGTCATTCTCTTTCTGAACATTCTTATATTTTAATATTCTTTATCGGTGGCAGGTCCCACTTTTCACTTCTAATATTGTTTGTATTTCCTTATTGCTTCTTAATCAAGTTTGTAATAGTTTATTTTTTTCAAAGTAAATTTGTTCTTGGTTTAATTAAGTAAAATGTTCTTGCTGTCATATTCATTTAATGTTTGTTTTATCCATATTAATTTTTCACATTTAAAAATTTTTTTCAAAATTAATTTATGTGCAATCTTCCTCATTTCCTAATAAATTATACAATGCTCTGAGGATCAGTGTATCAGCAACCCAAACATTTTTTAACTTTTTTTTTAACATATATGTTTTAAAGATTTTTATTTATTTATTTTTTTAGAGAAAGTAGAAGGGAAAAAGAGAGAAAGAGAAACATCAATGTTTGGTTGCCTCTCATGTGCACCCCACTAGGGACCTGGCCCATAACCCTGGCATGTGCCCTAAAGCGGGAATTAAACCTGCGACCCTTTGGTTCACAGTCCAGTGCTCAATACAGTGAGCTGCACCAGCCAGTGCTCAACACAAACATTGTGATATGCAGATTTTCATTATGGTTCATTATTAATTGTTTATAATTTCAGTTCTGAGATTTCCCTTCGGTCACAGGAAACATAGAAAAATATCTACCATATTTTTTACCTATTCTTTCTGTTATTTGACTTGTTTTATTATATGATTAGAGAACCTGATCTCTGAGCTATAAATGCTTTGAAAAATGAAGATATATTTTATACCCAAATACATGGTTAGTTTTTATATTCCATAAATATTTTAAAGTATAGCATCCTTACAGTGTACAGATGATGCACTGTAGAATTGTGCACCTGAACCTGAAACCTGTATAATTTTGTTAACCAGTGTCACCCCAATTTATTCAATAAAAAGGAAAAAAACAAAACAATAAAAATATGTCATCCTTAAGTATAGTTCTGTCTTACACATTACCAATTTCTTCAGAGGATTATCAGTCTCTGTTCAACCTCATGCCTCTTTCACGCTAAAAGTTTTCCTCAAGCCCTGACTTCTATAGCTTCTATGTGTGGCTGTGAACCAAAGTGTCCTCAGTTCGATTCCATGTCAGGGCACATGTCTGAGTTGCAGACCAGGTCCCCAGTAGGGGCTGCATGAGAGGCAACCACACATTTGTATTTCTCTCCCTTTCCTCCTTCCTCCCTTACCCTCTATAAACAAACAAACAAACAAAATCTTTAAAAAATAAAATAAAAATAAATTAAAAAATAAAAGTTTTCCTCATATGTGGAAAGTCTTGCTAATCCACTGATATGGTCAATGTATTCGGAATACAAAACACAGTGAGCAGGATACCTTCGGTGTACGACTCAAGTCCAAAAGTAAAGCTGGAATACCCCCATCTTGCTTCCTTCTCTGGCATCAAGGCTCAGACAAGTAGGATTCAGAGACAAACTCCTCTTGACTCGCATGCACACACCCATTCTCCCATATAACAAAGGTGTTTTTGCTAATTGTAGCCAAAAATTTAAAAGCTGTAGGAGCTCTGTGACTGACCCACTTGTGGCAATCTTTCAACTGTTTACTGTATCAATCATCCCAGATCCCACTATTATTGATTTAAACTTCAGAGTTTTTCCAAAGTTCCAATGGAAATAGTACACACCTCTGATATTAATCGGAGTTCCATAATGGCAGGTAGCATCTGTCTTTTTTATTTATCACTGTCACCTAAAATCCAACACTAGTGCCTGATATATTATCGTATAACCATAATGAATATGAATCAATATATATTCAATTTTGCTATCAATTTGATGCCATCCACTTTATAACTAATGTAAAGTCCTCAAATTTCTGATCCATTGATGAAATCACTCTCTCTTGCCCTGACTTCTCATTTTGCTACTTTTTTTGTCTTGCAATTGGATTTTGAAAATGACGGAAATATACAAATGTGCTTATTTAATTATTTTGAAGCAGGTGTAGGAAAGTACCCTAAAATACTTTACTGTGGCACTGTCGCTCCCATTTAAAATTTGGCTCCTACTTTATATTTTTCGAATAAATAATTACATACCCAAACTAATCAATAACAAATACTCTGTAAGTTTTACTGTGAGCTACAAATGAATGTTTAAAATCATTAGCATCATTAAGAAAAACAAATCAGCCTGGTGGTATAGCTAGTGGAGAGGGAGGAGGGGAGGTTCTCTCTTCCTTGAAAAAAAAAACATCAAATATATTAAACATACCTATTTTTTTCCAAAATAAATAAAGTTGTTGCTTCATACCTGGCCAGTACTGAAGATCTGAACAAATGCTTTTAAGAGTTCTTGAATGTCGCCTGTACAAGCAAGAGGAACGCAAAGTACTAAGTACATCTATGTAACCTGGAGGGAAAATGAAAATAATAAATGTTCTAATTGCCAAACCATGTAAAATCAAATAAAACAATTATTAGAAAAAAACAAAATGAGTTTTGCCTTGTATGTGTAAATAAGGCATATACGTTAAGCTAAAGTTACTTTTAGTTAGGAGTATAAAAAGATAAAGAATCATTATTTCCTAAAGATAATTTAAAAATCTCTAATGAACAATGTGGTAAAACCAGAGGTACTGCTTTCTTGCTCTCGTAAAGCTTCCACAGTTCTTTGGAACAAAGAAAGCTCCTTCCATAGCTATAAGCCATGAATACTTTGGTGTTCCTTCATAACTCTTACTCTTGACTAATAGGCCCCATCCAACTTTACATCCATGTTTGTAAAAGGTACACAGAAACAACAAAAACAATGGTTCTCATCTATCCTACATCCCAATTAGGAATCAGGAATTCTTCTGAGAACACTTAGAGTGAAGTCAGAACCCCCTTTCTAATACTTCTGCCTACCTAAGCCTAGAAAATGGCTGGCAGTAAGAGAAATGACCTTATAAGGAAATGTAAATATGCAGATTAGAAGAGCAATACCAATGATAATAAACAATAATAGTAACATGGTAACAATAAAGATTTTATTCTACTGAAAAATTACTATGGGCCCCAAGTACTTTAAATTGTTTTATCTGGTCCTATAAAGTGAGATAATTATTTCCTCACACTGATGTGGAAAAACAACAACTTGGAAAAATTAAGTAAATATCATAGTCAGTCAGTGGCAGGACTGAGTCTGATCCTATTCTATCCCTCACTCTTAAGCACTAAGTCTCAGGGCTTCTCTCAGGTAGCAGACAGGATAGCACAAAAAAAGATAAGCAAATAGAAGCTGATTTTTCATCTAAGCCCCAAGTTCAAAATATTTTCATTTTTTCTCACTCCTGAATTATTTATCTTCCAGCCCTTACTTACATAAATTAAAAGCGCACGCGCGCACACACGCACACAGAATTAGCAAATGAATTAAGTTTATACAAAGCACAGTTTCCAATCAAACCTTCAACATACTTGCTCACTCTTTTGTTCCTGGGCTTTTTTTCTTTTCTTTTTATAGCTTGTACTGATTTGAAGTCTGGTCTTCTGTCATAACAGAACAGGTATTTCTGACAAACCTCTAACATTCCTTAAGTATCATTCAAAAAGAAATTAATAAACCTGATATCCCTTTCGACAAAATGTCCACTTATTATAATTCCAGATTGTTAAAAGTCTCCAGAAAATATGTAGACATTCTATAAAAGGGACTGTGACTGTTCCTTCAATATATCATCAGAGATCAGTAGTATGTTACCTGGAATTCAAAATATATAGTATGTTCTATTATATCCTGGAATAAAAAATGGATCCTAGTGGAAAAACTACTCATTTGGAGAAGTTAATCTTTTATTTGGTAAAATCTAAATGAAGTCTATAGTTTAAAATAAGAAATATATATAATAAAAAATAAAGTAATGCATCAAATGTTAATTTCTCAGTTTTGACAAATGTACTGTGGTTATGTAAGTAGTCAGCATTAGTGGGGAAGCCAGGTAAAGTGTATACAGGAACTCTGTACTGCCTTTGCAACTTCTCTGTAAATCTAAAGTTATTCCAATATAAAAAGGTAGCCAAAAAATGAAATGAAGGAAGGAAACAACTCAGCAAAGGACCTGGTACATAGTGAATGTTAATAAAATGGTACCTACCATAATTGTTAATAGTATTGAAAGTTAAACAAAAAATATACTACTTACCATATTTATTTTCAAAGAAGGACTGTGCAGAGACATGAGAAGTATGCCAATGCGAAGAACTGTTTTTGCCCTTACAAAATCCAGGAAGTAGATGGTCTACCAATCGATCAATCTGTCCAATTTTTAATTCCGATAATCCAAGGTCCCTTAAGTTAAGCACAGGCTGTAAAACATTAAGCCCACCAAGTAAGCATTAATATTATCAAGATATTTAATTTATAGAGTACTTATCAGTTGAAACAATATGGATTTAAAAAATCTAACAAACATACTGGTTTCTTTGTTCTTTTTAATATTTAAATATTTAAATACTTATCAGTTGAAACAATATGGATTAAAAAATCTAACATACTGGTTTCTTTGTTCTTTCTAATATTTAAATATTTATATACTTATTAGTTGAAACAATATGGATTTAAAAAAATCTAACAAACATACTGGTTTCTTTGTTCTTTTTAATATTTAAATTGGTGAAAATATTTCACACTTCTAGTTTTCCTGAGGTCAATAACGTGACATTTGACAAAGATTGAAAAAATATATATTCCCAGTGGTATCATCACCAGTCCTTAGAGCTTTAAAGCATCCTCCAGTCTCTAATGCCCTTAAAAACCCATTTGACAAATAAAGGGTATGCTCTGCTACCACCAGATACCTCACCGCTCTGGCCTCATTGCAGAGATCCTTCTTTGAGCTGAGAGGTTCTGTGGTTACCCATACCTAACTTCTAATAAAAAAGAAACAAAACAAAGTAAAAAATGTGTGAAAACCATGTACTATACTTACATAAAACAGTTCTAATATACGCAGCATTAAGAAAGGAGCTCCTACCCTTTGCAACAACATGGATGGAACTGGAAAGCATTATGCTGAGTGAAATAAGCCAGGTGTTGAAAGACAAATACCATATGATCTCACCTTTAACAAGAAGCTAAACAACAAAACAAACAAGCAAGCAATATAAAAACAAAGACACTGAAATAGAGAACAGGGGGACAGTGACCAGAGGAGAGAGGGGAGGGAATTTCAGGGGAAAAAGGGGAAGGATTTATAGGAACCAGTATAAAGGACACATGGACAACAACTAAGGGGGGTGGAAATGGGAGGGAGGTGGGGAGCACAGGGGGAGGGTGGGCTGGGATGGGAGTAAAAGACAGAAAAATGTATTTGAACAATAATTAAATTTCAAAAAACAGTTCTAATATGACTACAAACAGATAGGGATGTGTTATTTTACTGTCCACATGAGCTGACTGGGAGACACTAAAGACTGGGAACAATTACAAGCCCCAAACAGCTAGAACTTCAAGTAAAGAGAGCAAAAATAAACAGAACAAGTATCAATTTGTTTTAATTTATGTAAAGTCAGATTCATGAATTCTGTAGTACTAGATTGACGTCCAGGGGTTTGGCACTTAATAAGCTTTGTAACAGGTGATTCATATTCTCAGAATACATCTGCTCATTAGTAAAATATCTGTGAAATATATCCTGCGTGTTTCACAAGATAGTACAGATCAATGGAAGAGATAATACTTTGTTCATCTACATATTCTCTCCTACATAGTAAGATATTTAAAGGCATCATGACATAAAACTTGTTTTTAGTATATTCTTTAATATGTTGGATGAAGTACCTATATACCACCAAGTATGTTATTGTACTAAAATACTCATATTTACAAAGAATATTATGTGGTATGGGATAGCTCACAGTCTCTGCAGAAGTGTCATGAGTTACCTGTGCCTTTATACTTTACAGTCTATTGTTGATTACTGTAAAAAGTACTACAGATGAAAAAAAGAAAAAAACAAAGCTAAATATAAATATACTTTTCCAAATATACACACGATAACTTACTATGGAACTGCAATAAAAATAAGTCAAATGACAACATTTGATGTAGCATTTACAAAATGCAGAGTCTGCAATAAAAAGTCAAAGGCACAAAAAAATATATTTTAACTTTAAAAATAACTTAGCACCCTGGCTGGTGTAGCTCAGTGGATTGAGCACGGGCCTGGAAACCAAAGGATCGTGGTTCAATTCCCAGTCAGGGCACATGCCTGGGTTGTAGGCTGGTTCCCTGCAGGCCCGTTCCCAGCAGGGGATGCACAAAAGGCAACCATACATTGATGTTTCTCTCCCTCTCTCCTTCCCCCCTTCCCATCTAAAGATAAATAAATAAAATCTTAAAAAAAAAAAAGCATTCCTTTTAAAATAAATAAATAAATAATAAAAATAGCTACAGTTACACTTTGCTTATTTTTTACCAACATGTAGCTAACAGTCAAAATTTTACAATATCAATATAAGGGATATATATAAAAGCTACAAGAAAATCCCCAAACTCATAAAATTATTTAAATGTCAAATAAGTTTTAACATATCAGAAGGATCTATAAGCCAGAAAACATAATATAGCCAAGAGTCTAGAAAAAAGGCTTAGGTGATAAATTTTGACTTCTCTTGCTCAGAGTGTGCCAGAGCATTATCAAGTTTCTCAGTGTGACTCATGCAATACTCCATAGCTTGTGCCCATCTTGGCCCAGCCAGATTTCTTGTGTGTCTACAAATGACACATGTGAACTGAACATTAGCCAGGCCTGGTGAAAATCGGTTCTGACGGACTCACTTCCTATTTTTCCAGGGCAGATTTTTTTTCCTCCCTGTTTTTGCAAACAGGGCATACCAGGTAAATTTAAAAAAAAAATACTTTGCAGAAACATTATTGTACAAAACCCATACCAACTACAAATATAGCCAGTGAAACTCTTCTCTTTGTGGTTATTTTTGTTTGTTTTTGTTTTGTTTTTGGTTTGAGTACCTTTACCCCAAAGGAATTGCTGGAAACATCCTGATACTTCTTTTTATCCAGAACATTCAGCACCTCATCCAGAAATGAGGGCCCAAGATCAAGCTGCAGGGAGAGGAGGGAGCCCATCAGATCAGAAGACTCCTCTGATTTTAGTCTTATCCTTGACAAGCTTGCATGGGGTGGGATGGTCAAACATGTCCTTAGCAAGGCAGCCAGGGTACTGTTCTGGAAGGCTGAAGGAGTGGCTTTCCCTGCCCTGGGTGTACATCCATGCAGATCCACTGGAGCCCCACAAGACATTTTCCTGGTGAACTGTCCTATTCTCCAACAGACTGCTTTTCTTCAGAGCCTTTTCCTCCATGACAGGCTCACGGCTAAGGCTGGGCAGCTTTGCTGGCTCAAAGGTCTCCTGTTTGAAATTAAATGTCACCAGTGACAATAATGGCAACATGAGTGCTTGGGATCCTCCATGGTCAGAAGAGAGATGACATCTCTAAGCACAGGAGAGGGTGTTTCTGTGAACACAGTCTTAGGTGCTGTTGGCCTGGAAGGACTTCCTACACCCAGAGAACTGACTCCAGCATGCTTTCTCCTGGTTTCCAGGTAAAAAGCTCACAGTTCCTTTAAAGAAAGGAAATATCTCCAAAGAGATCATCCTTGGTCCTCTTTACCAATGTGAATAGTGTGGCAAAAGTATCCACAGGCAAGACTGACCATATCACAAGACAAAATGTCCTTCAGTTTACATTTTTGAAAGAAAAACCCTCACCCAAGAATATGCTTATTTATTTGAGAGAGTGATAAAAGGAAAAAAAAACATCAGTATGAGAGAGAAACACTGATCAACTGAACCCACAACCTTCAGGTGTAGATGACGCCAACGGAGTCACTGTGCTGGGGCTAAATTTCTTTCCTTTCTTGTCATTAGCAGCTTTCAGGTTAACTGGGATCTTGGCTGGTATTTTGGAATTTGAGGGCATTTTGGAATTTGAGAATGTCAAATTCTTTTACAAAAGGGAAAAAGGCCCACTTTCTTCACAGTGATTATGTTTCCAATCATGCTTCTAACAAAAACTGTCACATCATTTTTGTCAAGTACCTTCAGAAGTGACTGTGAAAGGAGATGGGGGTTGAAGAGACCTTCTTAGAGCCTTAGCTAAGCAGGATTTTCTGAAGAGCCAGTTACAACATCCAATCCCTTCCACAATATGGAGAAACCAGCAGCCCCCAAGGATCACAGCTGCTGCCCTGGGACCAGCCCCTGGGCCGCATGAAGACACCCAGGGTATGCACAGTCCCTCCGTGCTATGCACAGAGCCAGCCTCACAGCAGTACGCTGCCCAGGCAGTGTAAAGGTGCCCAAGGCTGCTGATCTCCAGGCTCACCTGCCCCTCCAATGGCAGCTGAGCTGCCCATTGGAGGGAAGGGGTAAGCCAAATAAAATGTTTAAAAGTGCCTTTTAAATTATTTTATATTTTAAATATAATATAAAACATTATTATAATGAACAATACAATATAAAGCACATTATTATAATGAAAATAGAAAGACTACAATATTCAAAAGTTATCTTTTAAAATGGGAGGCCTAAAAGTCTATTTATAATACAGACTTCAAAAGGAAAATGGAGATTTAACAAAGACATAAAATTACTACCCTCACTCACTGGGTATCAGGCCCTAGGAACTGTAAAGAAAAATATGGAACATATAAACATGGTAATTATCATGCATGGTAACCGCTATCACAGAGACGGTTTCAAAAGTGGTGAGAGAATACAGAGCAACTAATGTCCTAAGCCGAAGGAGGCTTCACTGAGGTAACACCTACTTTGAAAAATGATGAAGAAAGCCTTGGAGAAAGGGCAAACAAAAAGTCATCAAAGGACCTGGAATGTCTGAGATATAGTAAAAAGCTTAGTGATGAAAGGGACAAGAAAGATAGGACATGGCCAAATTGTAAAGAGCCTTATTTGAATTTAATTCTATAGATAATATGGTTAGTTTTGTTTTACAGGAAGAAAATAGAAGATAAAGATGATAAACTGGATGAGAAAAGGCTGATGGAACAAGAGAAAAATGGCATGAGCTTGATTTAAATTTCATGTAAGAAAGACATTAACAAAAATATGTTGGAAGTAGTACATGCTCAGCAAGGTCAAATACTAAGACAAGTTGAAAAGATGTGCATTTTAAGAGGCCTCTATTTAACACTAAGGATGTCAACACTGACTTTAGCAAAAATAGGTCTAAAAAATGGTAAAAGTGGTAACCAAACTACAACAGGATGCAGTGTGAATAAACTTTAACAAGTACAGCAGCACCTGTTGTCCATAGTTTTGATTTCCATAGTTTCAATTACCTGCAATCAACCACCATCTGAAAATATTACATGAAAAGTGACAGAAATAAAAAATTCGTAAATTTTATATGTGTGCTGTTCTGAGTAGCATGATGAAACCTTGTACTATCTGTTCTGTCAGGCCTGGGGCCATGAATCATCCCTTGTCTAGTATCTCTACACTGAATACTCTCCCTGCCAGTTAGTCACTTAGTAGCCCTCTTGGTCATCAGATCCAAGACTGTATTTTTGGTTATCAGAGGGACTGTCACATGTTCAAGTCACCCTTCTTTTACTTAATACACAATGGTCCCAAAGCACAAGAGTAGTGATGCTGGCAATTTGAGTACGTCAAAGAGAAATCCATAAAGTACTTGTTTTAAGTTAAAAGGCGAACGTTCTTAAAAGAAAAAAATTGATAAGCTGAGGTTGCTAAGATCTGTGGTGAGAACGAATCTTCCACCTGAAATTGTGAAGGGAAAAAAATTCACACTAGCTTTGTTGTTCTATCTATAATTGGAAAAGATACAACCACAGTGCATAAACGCTTAGTTAATATGGAAAAGGCATTAAATTTGTCAGTAGAAAACATGCACAAAAACCATGTCCTGACTGACAGAAATGTGTTGCACCAGAAAGCATTGAGCCTATGGGAAGATTTCAGCAGGAATTACTTGGAACAAGTGACCAAAGTCACATAACTTTATCACAGCCTATTGTTATAACTGTTCAATTTTATATTAGTTATTGTTGTTAATCCCTTACTGTGCCTAGTTTACAAGTAAAACTATCATAGGTATGTATGTATAGAAAAAACATAGTATATGTATACATGGTTCAGCATTATTCACAATTCCACTCACCCAATGGGGACCTTGGAACATATCCTCCCACTGACAAGGTGAGAGTAGTGTACAGTTAGAAATTCAGACTAGCCCTGGCTGATGTGGCTCAGTGGATTGAGTGCTGACCTGTGAACTAAAAGGTACCGGTTCGATTACCAGTCAGGGCACATCAGGTTGCAAGCCATGCCCAGTTGTGGGCATGAGAAAGGCAATCTATATTTCTCTCACATTGATGTTTCCTTCTCTTTTTCCCTCCCTTCCCCCGCCTAGAAATAAATAAAATCTTTTAAAAAAAGAAAAGAAATTAAGACTACTTTTCCAGGAAGTCTGAAAGGAGAGAATAAAGAAGTTAATAGCTTGAAATTTTTTTTATGTCTGTTGTGGGTATTTGGATGAGCAAGACTTGATGAAAGCAAAGTCACCACCACATAGCAAAGGAGGTCACAGCAGAGATGAGACAGATGCTTAAGAATGAAAATGTTTGTGAAGCAATAACAAACACTCATTAAAGACAAACAATAGGACTAATGAAGGTATCATCAGAGGGTAAGAACACCAATTCTATATTTGAGACCTTTGGTCTTGAACACTGGCTTCTAGAGTTTAGTTACTCTTCAAGCCCCCAAAATGTACTTCTCTACTGATCCAGCAATTTCACTTGATGAAACAGTCCAAGATTTTGCAACACAATGTTTAAATCAATAAAAAATTGAAAACAATATCCAACAATGGGATATTATGTAATGAAGGCTTTTACAGTCATTAAAAACTTGGGAAATATATGGCATAACAAGTTTTTAAGATTATTAAATGAAGAAAGAAGACTCTAAATCAGCACTGCAGTATGATCCAATTATGAAATATAAACAAAAGAAAAAAAGAAGGGTTTATAGGAACAATTATAAAGGACATAGGACACAAGGAGGGTGGAACTGGGAGATGGAGTGGTGGGGAGGGAAGGGGGAAACAGGCAGAAAATTGTACTTGAAAAACAATTTAAAAATTTGTAATAAAAATTTTTTAAAGAACAAAGAAAAGAATAAAAAGACATGAAACATAAATACAAAATGTTAGCATTATCTCTGAGGAATAGGTTCTCAAGTGAATTTCATTTCTTCCATGTATATATTTTCTAAAATTTCTAAAATGACTTTGCTGCGTGTAAGAATTTTGATAATTTCAGGAAAGCACTCTTGGACTATAATTTGAGGAAGGGTGTCAGGACAGCAGAAAAACAATGGAATACCTACAGAAAGAGGCAATATGAATTGGGTAAACAATATAAAAGGAAAGCATAAAGATGACAGAGACAAATTTTCATCTAATTAAAATTTTATCTTAAACCCTGGCTGGTGTGACTCAGTAGATTGAGCTTCGGATTTCAGACTGAAAACGTGCTGATTTGATTCAGGATCAGAGCACATGCCTGGGTTGCAGACCAGGTCCCCGCTGGGGGTATGCAAGAGGCAACCAATCTGTTTCTCTCCCTCTCTTCCTCCTTTCCCCTCGCTAAAAAAATAAATAAAATCTTTAAAAATTTTAAATCTTTTAAAAAATAAAATCTTAAAAAAAACTTTTATCATAAGACTGACCCAACAATCACTCCCCCAAAAGTAAACTTTCAACTTTTCTTCTACTGTCCTTTGCCATAGTCCCTGATATCAGAAAGAATATAAGCTACTTTATTGGTTAAACAGGCTTTGGGAAACTTGTCTACAGACTATACTATTTTTTTTTTAAATGTATTCTGAGCTGTAAGCAACTATCTTACTAATGAATCTTGTAAACACAAGAGTTCTCAGGGCAGGAATTCCCTATATCTCTAGGCCAATACTGATTTCACAGCTGGTACAATTAATTCACTTGCAGATACTTATATTCTAGTTGTTCGATTACACTGAAAGCTCCTACCGGGCAGTAGGTACTATTTTAGCCTCCCTGAGATTTGGCAGGCAAACATTGTCAGTAACTATGGGTTCACTGCTACAGCTGGAGCAAAACAAAAGAAAACCTGAATGGTACCACACAAGTATTAACCTGGAAGTGAATACCAAATCTACTGCCACATGAAATTTTTTAATAAAGTGTTAAAGACTAAAACAATAACTTTCCTATCTGTATAATAAAGCTAGAATTAGACATCCTTAATCCTAAAGGAGATTAAGCTGGTAACAGAAATCACCTTATTACAAAAGCCTAAACATAGAAAAATGCTTCAAACATGTTTACAACATACTAAATCAAAATGCTTTCTCACACAACCAGAGTAAAACCTATTACCTCACTGCTGGGAGCCTCGTGCTCAGGAACCACATCTCGATGCTGGTTTTGAGACACTGATACACTGACAGAAGATGTGCTTTTTGGTGAATGGAAGGCATTGATGAGATGACTCAGAGGAACTGTAACCTAGAAAATGATGAAATTTGATATTAAGAAGTATGCACGGACACAAAATGAAACAGTTCAAAGACATTTTAAAAAGAATTTGATACTTTTCAACCTCCCTACTGCACCATCCTATTCTAGGTCACCATTTCCCATACGTGGGTTTTTGTAATAGCTTCCTAACTGCTCTCCCTACATGTGCTCTAAGAGAGCCAGACTTAGTTAGATCCATCATTCCTCTGTTCAAAACCTTCCAACTACTTCTCCTCTCACTTAAAAGCCAAAATAATCTATGGGTGTCGATTACCTTTTATCCACTGCTATGCTCACCTTCATTCTCTAACTCCACTGGACTCCTTGCTGTTCCTAGAATACACCTGGCAGAACCTCACCTCAAGGTCTTTGCACTATTTATTCCCTCTTGACCATCTGTCACCTAACTTGCTCTCTTATACCCTTGACTTTTTAACTCAAAAGAAATTCACCTATGGATCCAAAGTGTACCACTCTCCTGTGCTGTAAATCTCTGCACTGATTTCCATTGTTTAAAGTTTTCAAAGAGCTCAATGTTCAGGCTAGCTAGCCCTCCCTCCCAGAGGTTAGAGCTCAGTTTCCACGCTAATTGCCAGGTCTTTCTGATGACCAACCTAGCCCTGATGCTTTCTAGAAACCCCACCCTAAGTGACTTTATTAGCATAAATCCAGGAGTGATCTCAAAAGGACTCCTTATGAATAATGACACTCCTATCACTAAATTCCAAGGGTCTTAGAAATTCTGGGCCAAGAACTGGGAATAAAGATTAAGTATTTATTTAACATCGTACCACACTAAAATATAAGTTCTATGCGGCATGAGACTTTATATTACTTTGTCTATTTTACTCAATACTGTAGCTCAATGCAGCAACAATCACAAAGAAGATGCTAAATAAGCATTTTTTGAGTAAATAAATAGCCAGATTTCATACTGTGTGCTCTACTTATATTATCATTTAATCCTCATTTAACAACCATAAACATGTTACTATTATACTTCCTATTTAATTAAGACAGCAAGAATTTAGATAGGTTCAGTGGCATGCTCAAAGTCACACAGCTAGTAAGTATAGGAGCAATTCTTACCCAGATAATCTGACTCTAGATTCCAAGCAAAGACTTGCCATTCCCTAGTTACTGATATAGAAATAAATTTATGATATGCTATTAAATAAAAAAAAGCTGTAAAACTGCCTGTAATGCCTTTTCATAAGTATGCATATACCTATTTGTGTAGAGATAAAAAAAAGTAGAATTTATTATAAAAGGTGATCTTGGGTAATGAGATTATGGGTGATCTTTTATTATGTATATTTTTCTTTTCAGCATTCCACGCAATGAGCTGTATTATTTTTAGAGCCAGAGATAAATAACTCTTTTAAAACTATAGGAATACAATTATGTTAAGACGCGTATTTCCTTCCCATTTCTTTGAAAATTTTAATTAGTTGTATCTATTCTCATTCAAAAAAAGCTTTAAATTGCTAAAAGATAGTTTGATTTCTTCTCATTTTTAGTGTGTTAAATTACTTTTTCTTTAATTATTTTTTATGCTTATACAAGAACCTTTTTCAGACAGAGAGGAAGGGAAGGAGGGAGGGAGGGGGAAGAGGAAGACAGGGAGAGATGGACACACAGACACATCAATGTGAGAGAGAAACATCAATCAGTTGTCTCTCAGTTGTTCGCACTAGAAATCAAACCCACAGCTTAGGTATGTGCCCCAACTAGTAACTGAACCCACAACCTTTTGGTACACGGGACGAGACTTCCAACCAACTGAAACACACCAGCCAGGTTTCTTTAATGATTTTTTAAATTTTTCAATCATAGTTGACATACATCATTATATTAGTTTCAGGTATACAATACAGTGATTAGACATTTACATAACTTAGGAAATGATCACCCTGACAAACCTAGCATCCATCTGACACCACACACAGTTGTTACAATACTACTGACTATATTCCCTAAGTTATACTTTACATGCCTATAACTATGGTGTAGCTACCAACCTGTACTTTTTAATATCTTCTCCTTTTCTTGCCTCCTACCTAACCACCTCCCATCTGGCCACCATCATATGTTCTCCCTATCTATGAGTTTGTTTTGTTTATTCATTAATTTTGTTTTCGAACTCCACATGTAAGTAAAATCATATGGAATTTGTCTTTCTTTGTCTAATTCCATTCAGCATAATACCTTCTAGGTATGTCCAATTGTTGCAGATGGCTGGATTTCATCCTTTCATATGGCTAAATCATATTTCATTGTATATATGTACCACATCTTCTTTATCCATTTATCTATATGAATACTTAACTGGCTTCTGTATCTTGGCTACTGTAAATAATCCTGCAGTAAACACAAGGATACATATCCTTGTATGTCTTTTTTAATTAGTATTTTGAATTTCCTTAGATAAATACCCATAAGTGAAATTGCTGGATCCATGTCTATGTCTTTGTTTTAAAAGCTGTTTTGCTTTTTTCATTGTTTCTATTTTCATAAAATATCTTTTTCCATCCCTTACTTTTCACTCTCTGTGTGTCCTATGATCTGAAGTCTCTTATAGACAACATATGGAAGGATCTTATTTTCTTATCCATTCAGCCACTCTATGACTTTTAATTGGGACATTTAAAGTAATTGTTGGTAGACTTGTAGTTACTGACACTCTATTGTTCATATTCTTTATCTTTTTTTCTTCTCAAGAAGTGCCTCTAACATTTCTTATAATACTGGTTTGGGAGGGTCAAAATTCCTTTTTTCTTGTCTGGGAAGCTCTTTATCCTTCTATTCTAAATGATAGCTTTTCTGGGCAGAGAAATCTTGGTTGTAGGTCTTTGCTTTTAATCACTTTGAGTATTTCATGCCAATCTCTTCTGGCCTGCAAAGTTTTTTAAAATAAATCGGCTGACAGTCTTATGGTAGCTAGCTCCCCTTTAGGTAACCAATTGTTTTTCTCTTGCTGCTTTTAAGATTTTTCTTGTCTTCATCCTTTGGCACTTTAATTATGATATGTCTTTGTTAGGGCCTCTTTGGATTCATCTTGTTTGAGACTCTCTGTGCTTCTTGGACTTTAATTTCTATTTCCTTTACTAGTCTAGGGAATTTTTAGTTATTATTTCTTCAAATAGGTGTCAATTCCTTACTCTCTCTTCTCCTTCGGGTAACCCCTATGATGTAAATGTTGGTATGCTTAATATTGTCCCAGAGGATCCTTAAACTATCCTCTTTTTGGATTCTTTTCTCTTTTCGCTGTTCTAATTGAGTGTGTCCTGCTACCTTACCTTCCAAATTGCTGTTTTGATCCTCTGCTTCAACTCATCTACTGTTGATTCCCTCTAATATAGTCTTCATTTCAGCTACTGTAGTCTTCCTATCTAATTCGATCTCTTTTGTAAGTTTTTTTTCAGCTTTCATTTACTTATTCAGAAAGTGATTCAAGTATCAAATGAAGCATTTTTAGCATTTGAAATACAATGTTGGAAATCTTTATTTCCTGCAATTGTTTATTACAATTTTCATAATCCTGAAGAGATTCTCTTAAGTTTTTCAAGCATTTGGGTATTGCTTGCTGTGTGATGTTAACAGCAAAAAAGGTTGCAATGAAGTAGCTGCTGTGATCATAACCCTCTTGTAATCTAAAAACAACAGGAGTTTTCTTTTCTATTATAGGAAGCCATGAAGTTATCAGGAAGTAATTGACCATCTGAAAGAAACTGGACATCTTTTCCTCAATCAATTAGTATGTCCGGCTGAGAACCTGCATAGGATTCACAAGGTAAGTAGCATCATAAGCCTTCCATGTAGTTTGATCTATTCCCAAATATCCACTAAAGGTGTTTCTGCCCCAGGAACAGAAAACTATATTGCACACAGGAGCAAATGCTGACACAGATTTGAATTTTCCAGGATTATTTAAAACAAAAACCAGAGCTCCATAGCCTCCCGCAGCCTAGCCAAAAATAGACATTCTTTGGGGGTCCACTGGAAAATTGGCATTTACAAGTTGGGGAAGCTCCTCTGTTACATAAGAATACATTGTGTAGTTAGTTTTCCAAGGATCTTCATTGGCATCCACATTAAACCCAGCACAAGTGTCAAAGTTCCAGTTCTCACCTTCTCCTTTAATACTGTGTATGTGAGAGTATCAGAAACAATAAAAACAAAGCCCTGTTCTGAAGCAGCCTGATGATGACTAGATTTTGATATAAAATGCGGTTCTGTGTAAGTTAAACCAGACAGCCAACATAGTACAGGGCATTTTCCGGTTTCTGTCTTTGGTGGTGAGTAGATAGGAAATTTCATTTTGCAGTTTTAGTTCAACAATGTCATGTTCAAAAACTTTATCCAGTTCCCCAAAGAACTTGTTGCTGAAAATGTTTCAATGCCATTCTTTTCACTGTCTAACTGCTACTTGCTTTTTTTGTCTGCACCAAAGGATAAAAGATCCCCAAGTGGCAGTGCCAATAAAAGCCTCTTTCATGTTTTTTATATCCACTTTCATTTCCTATCTCTTTGTTGAAGTTCTCACTGAGACAATTAAGCAACCTTATAACAAATAGTTTGAACTCTGCATCTGGTAGATTGCTTTTGTTATCATGGGTATCCAAGCAACCTGTTGGCATTTCTGGGCCACACTGGAAGAAAAGTTGTCTTGGGCCACACATTAAATGCACAAACACTAACAAAAACAAAAACAAAAAAATCTCATGATGTTTTAAGTAAATTTATGATTTTGTGTTGGGCTATATGCAGCCCGCAGGACACAGGTTGGATACCTCTGGTTAGTTCTTTTTCTGGAGTTTTGTTCTTTCCTTTCTTTTGGGACATATTTCTTTGACTCCACGTTTTGACTGCCTCTCTGTGTTTGCTTCTATGTATTAGGTAGAAATTCTGTTTCCCATTCTTGGTGAGTAGCCTTAACTAGTAGGTGTTCTGTGGGCCACGATGGCACCATCTCCTAGTCCCGAGATGGGTGTTTCAGGTATGTCACTCATATGGGTTGCGTGTGCCTTCCTGTCATAGTTGAAACTTGACTGTTGTTGGCACGTCAATGAGAGGGGTTACCTTTAGGTGACTGGTCACTGACTGTGAGGACTGGCCACAACTACAGTAGAGGAGCTTTTGAACAGGAGCTGACACTACAAAGCAAGATTCCCTTTAGTGGAGCTCTGGTGCCCGCTGAGTCCATTCTTTGGGGGCGGTTTGTGCACGTGGTGAGGCAGTGATCTGAAGCTGTCCAGGGTGAGTGCCAGCTGTGCATGCTCCCAGCAGGTATAAGGCAAGATTAGCCGCTGCATGTACCCTGCCCAGGGCCACCCAGAATGAGCTACAGAGCACTGTGCAGATGGCCGCTACTTATGCTGTGCTTGGAGTGCCCAGGAGAGGCCGCCACCAAGCTGTGAACCAAGGCTGGCTGCTGCTAGTGCCAGGCCTAGGATCACTTAGTTACAAGTACAGGGTATATACCAGGTCAGATGCTGTTTGTTTGGGGTTTGTGAACCTTAAGAGATTTTAGGAAAGACAGAGCATGAGCCAAGACAGGCTGTTTGTAATGCAAAAGCCGCTGGAAACAACTTGGGTGGGTCCAGGTCTCAGGGAATCACCAGGGTAAGGCAAACAGTGTTAGCCAAGCTGATGGAGTCTGATATGGTACCCACCTGGGATCAAAAGCAGGTGGTGCTCAGCAAAGAAATAATGGTTTCTGTCAGCACTTCTGTGAGAAAGCTGACCCCTCCAGAGTTCACAGTGAAGCTAGAGAATTTAATTCCTCCCATATTCCCCTGGCACCTTTCAAGCTGCTGAATTCTCCACCTAGCTGATGATAAATTCTCCTAAAATGGGGTCTTCTGAATGTAAACATCTTGAAGTCCAGTTTCAAAAGGCTTAATACTATATTCTATAGGCCACACTTCTTTTTTAAACAACTGGTAGGACTCCTCTAGAAATAGTCATCCTGGTAAATAACATCTTCATGCATGCAGCTAATCAAACCATAAACACTGCTTCCCATCACCCCTCAAATCCAATCCTCACGAAATTCTATTTTCTCCAAATTAAATCTCATCCCCTTCTTTCCATAACCACTGCCACTTCAGTGCATTATCCCAATCCTGGATTACCACTGTAGCATCCTTTATTGAACATATGTCTACTCCTGACCTATCACATTGTCCATATAACCATAAGCCAAAGTGATGCTTTAAAAATGTAAATCTGGTCATGTCACTTCCTGCTTAAAAGTATTCAATGGTTCCCAACACAATTAAAATAAAATCTCAAGTCCCTTATTATAACTCCCTGAATGGCTTGCTTCAAGGATTCTCCCCAACCTCATTTCAGTTATTGTGCCCGTTAATAACCACATTCTAGCTATACTGGTCTTATTTTTGTTCCTCTGATCTGCTAAATTCTTCCCTACCTCAGGACCCCCAGATAGCCTTCCCACCCTCTGGGCCGCCTGTTCACTCCCATCATCCTCCACCTAATAAACTCCTACTCATCTTTTACTTCGTATCAGCATCAAGATTTTGTGTTTGCTTTCTTTACCTGGCACATGACTGATACCCATTAAGTAATCACTTCTATTTTCTATTATCCAGAAAAACAAACAACAAAAAGAATTGCATATGGGTTATTATAAAACCCCAAGGATTTATGGATTATACAAAGGAATCTAAGTATATATTTGCCAAGAAACCAAAGAGTATCCAAAAAATTACTTTATGTTTTCACCCTGGCCAGGTATTCAGTTGGTTAGAGCCTCGTCCTGATATGCTGAGGTTGCAGATTTGATCCTCAATCAAGACAAGAACCAACCAATAAATGCATAAATAAATGGAATGACAAAAAGATTTTTCTCTCTCCTCCTCCTGTTCCTCTCTCTCTCTAAAATCAATCATTTAAAAAAAAATTTTAATCTGTTTTCCAAAACCTACTTGTAAAACTATAAGAATTCTCAAGAGAAGAAAAAAAAAAAAACCCTGTCAAAATGTTACCATCAAAAAAGATTTTTAGGTGAGCCATGAACGAAATACTGTTACAAGTGATAAGTCTTAAGAAAAGATCATGGAAAACTCTTCGAATCATTTTTCTCTGCCCCATCTTCTGCTTTTGGAAAAGATGGGAAGAAAGTCCAATCAAAATTTTAACTGCAAGCAACAATAACTTGAAAATACCTATTTATTAGTCACTTCTAGCCAAAAAAAGGAGGGGGAGCCTTTGTGTCAGATTATTGAAATGCTTACATCACGTGTTGGTTAAATTCCACTTAAAGGAAAAGAATAGGGGACCGAAGGCGGAAAGATGGAAAGGGACTATTACTTGCTTCCTTTACATTTATAGCAATGATCTCCCCCACCCAACCTCTACCCCTGAATGTCGGTCGCTGAACAATGCCTGGTAATTCTCTAGCAAAAATTCCACGCAATCAACTGACAAGCCAAGGTCTCCATGACGCTCTGCTTCACCGTCTGTCAGCCTTTTAACTTTCAGCGCTGCCCCTGATCCCCTCTTGCCTAGAATTCGTGTCGTTCTACTCGCTTCCCTCCAACGACCCCTTGAGAGAAACCGTTTCCAAATAAAGCAAATGGCAAACAGCCTTGGGCGGTAGAGAGGGAGGAAAGGTTGGGGCGGCCGGGGAGAGGGGGCGGCGGATAAGGTCTGGATGCCCGGACTCACCTGGGGCTGCACCGTGCTTGAAAGGGAAAACATCTCCGGGACCTCAGCGACCTGACCCTACTGCTGAAGCTGCCTTTCCGTCCAGGCAGGGAGCCGCTGAGCCCGTTTTTCCCCTTCTTTTTCTCCCTCCCCTCTCCCACAGTCTTCCTAGAAACAGAAAATGGCCTCCCCTTTCTACAGCTGCCGCGTCGACAATCCGCCCCGGAAAGCAAAGCTCTACAGCAACATTACTTCCGGAGCAGGGGAGAACCTCCAGTCCTAAATGTGTCAGCTCTCGGCCTTTTCCGGCGGAGTTCTTATCTGTGTTGCTGCCCTCCAAAAGTAGTCGATGTTCACATTGTATAGTGCACTGCCTGATCCTAAAAAGTTTCTGGCTGTATTTTTCCTTTCTTAGACCTGGCATCCACCCTGTCAGACCTTTTCGCAGCTTCCTTATGCAATGTAGTCTGTTGCGACTGGAACAGAAAAAGCTGTAAGGTCTTTTCTTACTTATTAGTGTTCTCTATTTTCCTCACAATAATAGAATATTCTTCCTCTTGATCCTATTCTGTTTCAACCAGGCAAATTACATCCTGTTAAAATGTCAGATTACAGATGCACCACCATTTCCTGCTCTTCCAGTTTCGCCACATTTACGATTTCACTAGCCACCATTTCCCTAAATAAATCCAACCGGTTTACATTTAGTCTGAGGGCAGAGAAGGGGTGTGTAGGAGAAGGTAGGGAAGAAATTTTTTAAAAAGGTCAGGGTCCTAACAGCCTCCTCTGGAAATCAGGATTAAACTATTCAACTTCTAGGATTCAGATTCCAGTCCCCAGTGCTTCTTTATTTATGCACGTATGTATGTATCTATTTTGTTAGCGACACCACCTACACCAATACCCGTCTCACTACAAATAAAGTGGGCAGCGGTCACTGCCCGGGCAGAGTGTGTGGTTGGTTGGAGAATTTCCCAGCGTCCCCACTCTCACTCCCATTGGGTCCTTCCGGGCTAGCGCGACGCGGTGACATCACGTCTGCGGGCGGCGTGGGCGGAGCCCTACTTTGAACCTAGTTGGCGGGAGTTGCGGCTGGGAGAGGAGTATTGGCGGCTGCTTCAGGTTTTTCAATCCTGGCTTCCCTGCAATGGAGCCCACCGCCGGGAGCGAGGAGAGTGGACCAGGGGCGGCTGCAGGGAAATGCGTGAGTAGGATCTCAGTGCCAAGACCTCCCTCCATTGAGGAATTCACCATAGTGAAGCCTATTAGCCGTGGCGCCTTCGGGAAGGTGTATCTGGGACAGAAAGGCGGCAAGTTGTACGCGGTGAAGGTAAGAAGTCAGGGATTAAAGCAACGGGAAGAAGCCGGCCCTTCGGCTCTTTGTGTCCTCTGAATTGGGCACGCCCCAGGGCTGCTGGAGTAACTGGACTGGGTGGCCTGGCTTGCTGACGCCTGCACAGCCCCGCGAGCTGACTTCTCACTTTAGGGTGACACATCAGCGAGGGCAAGTCGATTGTTTCTCGTCTGCCACGCCCTTCTCTTCACACCCTGAATGCTTAAGAGACACCAAAAGAACTCACCAGAACCTCTGAATCCTTTATACTGATTTGGACTTTATGAAGATTAAATTTGAAACTTTAAATTTTAAACAGTTACTTTCCAAATTATTTTTTAATTCCGTCAGTTTGACGTACATTAATTTCTGACCTATAAATCAAAGGATCTCATTAAGCAACCTTATTTTTCCTCTTCCAACAATTCCATTATAAATCTAGGATGTATTTTTATTTAAAGACTGATATGGCCTAAATCAGTCTTTTGTCTTTGCAGCAGTATGTAGCATTCCAAAATCATTCGAGAGCTTTCCATGTGTTGAAACACTTCTGGCCTTTCTTGGTTATCCACTCTCTCACAGTTTCAGATTACTCACATTTCAGCAATTAGTGCAAGTGATAAAGAATCCGACAGTCTGAGTGACAGGAGACTTTGGACATTGTTATGTAAATGTATAGCAGGCAACTCCAAGTTGTACTTGCCTAACCTAGACTACTTACTATCTGCCTAACTGCCTAACCTCTGAACCTCCTGCATTCCCTTTCCATTCAATACCACTACCTTCAATCGCTGTCATAACCCGCGTCATTTAACTTTTCATTCCTTCATCTGTGTACCCCATCTTAACAAGTCTTGTCAATTCTGTCTCATATTCTTATTACTCCTTCCATTTCATTCCCAATTTTGCCCAAGTGCAGCTCTTCATCTTGTCTTCTTCCTCCTTTAATTCATTTTTTCTTTGTTCCTTCCTTCCTTCCTTATTAAAAGTACAATTTGGTTTCTTAATAAATTAAAGATTGAGTGCATAACCATCACTACAATCCAATTTTAGAATATTTCTATCACCCCCAAAAGATCTCTCCTTCCCATCTGTAGTGCCTCCCCACTTTTATACCCTTAGCCCCAGGTAACTACCAATGTACTTTCTATCTCTATATGTTTGCCTTTTCTAGACACTGCATGTACATAGAATACAACATATAGCTTTTGGTCTTTGTTCACTTAACATGATGTTTTTGAGGTTCAACAGGCCTTTTTTTTTTAAGATTTTTAAATTTATCTTTAGAGGGGAAGGAGGGAGGGAGAGAAACATCAATGTATGGTTGCCTCTAGTGCAACCCCTGCTGGGAACGCAACCCAGGCATGTGCCCTGACTGGGAATCGAACTGCGATCCTCTGGTTCACAGACCTGTGCTCGATCCACTGAGCTACACCAGCCAGGGCAACAGGCCTTAATATTCATACCTAGTCTATTGAAATAGCCCACTAACTGGAATCAGTATTCATTTTTACATGCATTCCTTAGGCTGTGACATACTAGCTAAAGTCCAAACTCCTTAGAAAAGAAGAAAGGAAACATTCATGCTTCATTCTGACTCTAAACTCCTACTGTATCTTCCACACGTCTTGTGTTCTAGCCACTTGAGACAATGGACTAGTCTCTGAATTCTGTAGATGGTCCTTCTGAGCTTATGTTCTCTCCCGAAAAGCTCCTTAAGTGCTTTTCTTCTACCCTTCTCTGCTCTTCTCCACCTGTGTTATTTATCCTAGCTCACCTTCAAACCTTCCCTGACCCACTGAAATGAACTCTTCCTTGCTTCATATGTTCCCAAGATGTTTTGCTTTTCCTTCTACTGTGCTCACTAATCAGTCATTAACTGTGGTTGAAATGAAAACAACAATTCATTTTTTAGTATTTATTAAGCATGTCCTTCCTTTCTCAGATCTGGGCTATCGCAAACAAAACAAACCTGCCTTCATAGAGTTTTGAATCTAATGGAATGATAGGTGAAATCAAGTTATAAAGTGGGTTTGTCAGTGACTCTCAGTTTCCTTATGGAAAGGATATAAGGCTGGAATGTACAATGTATTCATGATTTTATTAAATACTCTAATGAGTCTTTGGAAGAAATATGCCTTTTTTTTCTTGAGATAGTCCTGAGACTTGATTTCAGTGTTATTGACTATTCATTTAGGACTCCACCTTAGTACATTAGGCCTCTGTACTAATTACCCTGAAAAGTAATCAGTTATTTTCTGTACCATAGCATTTGACACTGTTTCACTAGTTCTAACCATTCTTAAAATTTTAGTTTCTAGGCAAACTTTCCACATTCTTCCTCTTTCTGATTCTATTTCCATCCATCAAAGAATCAGAATTTATATATATATATATATGTATATATACACACACATATATACATACACACATGCACACATATACATACATACATACATACATATACGTGTACGTGTATATATTTCTCTGTGTCTAAGTTCCTGGTTATCTGCAAGCTTATAGGAATGTTACTATCTTTTCACTTTGTAATAAGAGCAGAACAGAATTTTTTTTCCTACTAATATACAGGTCCTGCAGGGAGTATTTATTTTGTTTCTTTTTCCTTCTCAAAAGGGACACCATACTTACGACATTTGATATCAAGATAAGCAGTTCTCTGTTGAAAAAGTTCTGTGTTTGTTTGTCCATGTTAGTTGTTTTTCTGGCAGTTTCCTGATGGCAATATGAGGTCCAAATGACATCTATGTGTTTTCTTTCACTGGTTGTTTCATGATGGTAATTTCAACCCTGAGAATATGTAAACTGAATGTCTATTGTCATGTTACTTACTATAGGTTGTCAAAAAAGCAGACATGATCAACAAAAATATGACTCATCAGGTACAAGCTGAGAGGGATGCACTGGCCCTGAGCAAAAGTCCTTTCATTGTCCATTTGTACTATTCACTGCAGTCAGCAAACAATATCTACTTGGTGAGTAAATGGTCTTCCTTTTTTGTCTTCAATCAGCAGTCATGGAAGTCAGTGACTTAAGACTCCAATCTCTGGACTCAGAGTACTTGAGTTTAAATCCCAGCTCTTGAACTTACTAGCTTTAGGATCTTGGCTAAGTTGCCCTACCTGTTCTTTTAGACAAGTCTTCTCCAAAGAAAAAGGACTAACAGGGCATGCATGTGTGTGTGTAGCAGGGGGTTTATTTTAAGGAATTGCCCTTGGTGATTGTACAGGCTGGCCAGTCTGAAATTTGCAGGGTAGGCTGGCAGGCTGTAAATCCAGGAGAAATTTGACATTGTAGCACCAATCCCAAAGCAGTGTAGAGGCAGAATTCTCTCTTCTTTCAGAGGTGGGAGTTGGGGTGGCAGCTACAAGTGAGAGACAATACTGCCGTCTTTTTTTTTCCTTAAGGCTGCTAGGATGAGGCCCAACCACATTATGGAAGACAATCACCTTTTACTCAAAAATACCTTCACAGCAACATTTAGATTTGTATTTCACCAAATAATCTCAGTACCATGGCTTAGCCAAGTTCACATAAAATTAATTATGGTCATGTGTCACTCATCTTGATCAAGAGCAGACCATATATAGCACAGTGGTCCCATAAAATTTTAATAGAGCTGAGAAACTACTGTCTTGTAGTGACATCTCTACATCATAGTGCAATGCGTTACTCACATGTCTGTGGTGATTCTGGTGTAAACAAACCTACGACACTGCCAGTCCTTATAAAAGTATAGCCCACATAATGTACAGTACATAGCACTTGATAATGATGATGAATGACTATGTTACTGGTTTCTGTACTTACTATATTACACATTTTATCATTATTTCATTACTTTACAATGTACTGTTTCTACTTATTTTTTTAAAAAGCTTGTTGTAAAATAGTACACTATAATATGCCAGCAGTGCTCTCATGCATCTTGAGTTTAATGCTTCTCTTGATCATGCCATTTTCTTATCTGTATTTAATCTCATGTTGTTTTGTGCAGGCTTATACCAAAAGGCCGTACAACTTATAGCCTGGGTGTGGAGTGGGCTGTACTAATGGGTATGCGTAAGTGTACTCTACAATGTTTGCAAAATGACAAACATGCCGAAACACACATTTCTCAGAATCTCATCACCAGTTTTCAGAAGAGCTACTTCCAACTGTTTATACTGTTACTTTCAGTTTTTGTTAAGTGTCTTTATGAATTAATGGAATTCTATAAATTTATGACACATAGGTTTTATGTGTTTTTAATCCATTGTTGTCATGTTCACATTGTCCCATCTTTAGTTAGTAGGAACCCCTTTGGTTAATCTGTCTTTTTATACTGTCCTAGTATTCTGATACTTTTCTTTCTTTGTGGCATGACAAGATACTTAAGGGTCATTTTGTAAATGTCCTGTACTAGACCTAGGGAAGGAAGTCTAGCTATTTTTAGTGTGAAATAATGTTTAGAGACCACAATCTAGGGTGATCAGTCCCTTTAGGTCTTTTTAGTGAACAGACAACAAAACACATATTTTTATAAAAAGGGAAAATATGTCATGAATGCATTCTGATATTTTCAATTCAGTGGGAGATTATAGAATTTTTGTTTAACATCTTGAAAAATATATAACTTATAAAAATGTTTGGGAAAACTTTTTTTTACACTGAGAATCTGAGATCCTAATAAAATTAACATAATTACTTATTTGCTTTAACATACAGTACATGTATATCTAATATTTTCAGAATAACAATACCAATATTGTTATTTACGAACAACAATACCAATATGGTTTTACGAACACTAAAACAACTGGATTCAATAGAATTTCTTTGCAATTTTTTCTGTCCTTGGGATATACTTTCAAATTCTGTTTTCTGAAGTCACTTGAAATAATTCTTTGTGTGGGTATGAAGCTTGATGTAGAGTTAGGTTCATTTGTTCCCCTTTTATTTTAGAGCTTTCTACTTAAGAGGATGAATCCATAAAGGTACTAGAAGAAAACTGATGTATTTTTATAATCATAGAATGGTGCAAGACACTAAGTACAACATAAAACTTACCCTATTTTGCTGTATATAATGTACTCAATATGTACCCACATTTTTGGCTGAAACTTTTAGGAAAAAATCTTTTGTTTTAATTTTCTATTTATATATAAACTGATTATCATATTCCAGGGTATCATTTTGCATATGGATATCGATATTGCTTTCTAGAGTTACACTTTTAACACAGCATAAATAAAAGAATTAAAAACATTTATATAGATATGGAATTAGTACCCTACCCATATATAATTGCACATCCTTATTTTTTCCTAAAATATTTGGGCAATAAACTGCAGAAATCTGCTTTGGTTAGTTAATTTTTTTTCCTGGTGTATTTTGTGTGGATGTGGCATTGAGGAATATGAGAGACATAAATATTGTTATGCTTCTGATGCTGTATATGCATTTATTAAGATTTAAGCAACTTCTGGTATGTTTGTTGTATTTCTATATTTGTTTATCTTTTTCTCAGTTTCCTATCTTACATAGTCTAGAGAGTACATGTACCTAGAATTTTAACCCATAGATACTTAGATCAAATTTCTCAAAAGTTTCTAGGTAGAGCTGATACCACTGATAAGGAAATCACACTTGGAGATCATTGGTCTATAAAATGCTACATGTTAGACTTTTTTTCCTAATTTCCATTTACTAAATGTGTCTTAGTGGAGGCATCTTAATTAATTTTGTGGGTAGGAGTGTGGCCCCTAAAGCCAAACTGCCCACCTTGAAATCCTGGTGTGATCTAAGTATTGTATGTGTGCACTAAATAAATAAAATCTTTAAAAAAGTCATGCAGTGTGGTTAGGTATTTTGAATCACTGACCTAAACCTCTCTGCCTCCATTCCAGAATGATTGTATTACTGTTTTTCAGTTCCTTGATTATTTTTAGACTCTAAGTCATATGTTGCCTTTTATTTACATTTTTAATTTAGTTTCATCAAATATGGACAGGATCTCTTGACTCCTCACTTTGTGCTATGGGGGATACCGGTGATGTCCCTCCTGTCACTCCTTCCCCAGCTCTCTTTGTCTGTTATTTCACATGGTCAACCCTTCAGTTCCATTCTGTCACTATGGTTATCTCCTCTTCTTTCTTGAGAGTTTGATAAGAACTTGAAAGTAAAAAAAACAGTTTGGGTGCTCTGACCATAGGGGTATCAAACTCACTTTCACCGGGCGCCACATCAGCCTTGTGGTTGCCTTCAAAGGGCCAAATGTAACTTCAGGACTGTACAAATATAACTTTACTCCTTAACTAGGGGCAAGGAGCTCAGCACTTCCACCAGTTAGAAACAAGGTGGAGGGCCAGAGTCAGGCCTGGGCCTTGTGTTTGCCACCGATGGATTAAAGGGTACCAAAGAAACATGACAGCTGAATTCCTTTCTTGATTCCAGCTCTCAGGGACAATATTGAGATAATCAGAGAAATTTGAATGTGGGCTATACGTTACGTAATAGCATTATATTAATGTTAAGGTCTCAGGACTATATTGCACATAGTTATGTGAGAAAGTCCTTGTTAGTAGATACATGACGAAGAATTTAGTAGTGATGGGTCATGATCTTGTCAACTTATTCTTGACTTATTCAGCAAAATTTAAAAGTTATACACTAATATCAGTTTCTAATGTTGCCATACAGTTTTTAAATTAAACTCTTTAATCTGTTAATGAAGTTAGTAATTGTGTTATGTTTATTATGTAACAAATTATGTTAATGGTTAACATAAATATTTATTGTACAGTAACGTGTGGAATGGAAGAAAGTAAATTTGGCAAAATGCTAACAGTGTGTTAATCTACATGAAGAGTGTATGGGAAATCATTCTATTGTACTATTAGACCTTTCTGTAAGTCTGAATTTATGTTCAGACTAAACAGTTTAATTTATGTTTTAAAAATCATAAGGGAACATGACCAAACCTGGTATTAATGCATACTGAGTGGTACCAGGAAAGTGTGTTTTGTACAGAACCATGCTAAAAATATATAACTGCAATGCTCAAATAATAGATATTTTAGTATAATCATATTGGTTTTATTCTGTAACATTCATGCTCCTTTTTGATAGGTAATGGAATATCTTATCGGTGGAGATGTCAAGTCTCTCCTCCATATATACGGTTATTTTGATGAAAAGATGGCTGTGAAATATATTTCTGAAGTGGCATTGGCTCTAGATTACCTTCATAGACATGGAATCATTCACAGGTAAAAACTGACTTTTCTTCACTCTATTACTTAAAAACACAAAAATGCAATTATGTCTACAATAGTTGCATAACCACTTACCCACATATCCAAGTTATCTAAAGTTTATTACTAACTTGTGTAAAAGTAAAAATCCCATCAACTCTTCCTTCATTTCTGTGTGTTTTTATAATACATTGCTTTGGCCATGAGTATGCCATGTTATTGTGACAAATATCGAATCATTTTTCCATTCCTGTGCTGTCATACAAAAGCGCTACATTTTCTAATCCCAGATGATTACAGTATTTTGCTCCGTGCAGAGGCAGGTAAGTGGCTCTGCCTTATGAAAGTTTGACCTTAACATCTTTGAATGGGGTAAATATGATTTTGACCTGGCTTGAGGTTTATTTTAACTAATGAGGTTGATTTCTTCTGATGGACTATCTAATGAATAATGCAAAAGATTATCACTAAATCAGTTAACTTTCTTGTTGATTCATTTATACAAAAGATGGTTTGCTTTTTAAACTTTATTGCAGTTTCAAAGCCATCAATGAGTACCATATTATAGAGAAAATAAATGGGTTTTGAGACTTCTGTAACTTTTCCCCCCAAGAATTCTTACATCAGTACGAGCTCTGTTTTAGTTCTCTGCTATTTGTCTTTTGTGTGTGCAGGGACTTGAAACCAGACAATATGCTTATTACTAATGAAGGCCATATTAAACTAACGGATTTTGGCCTTTCCAAAGTTACTTTGAATAGAGGTAAGAAAAAAATAGCAGGTAAGTATTTCTTCAAAATTCCAACAAATTATATATTTTTCCCATTAACTTACACTGTTTGTTTCTTTGTTTATAATGAATAAAATTTGATGGTTATTTGTTCTAAAATAGACTGGAAAGGTATGATGGTATCTTTCTTTTAATTAAAGATGAAAAATGGGAATCATTACTTTTAAATCCTCAAAGGTCTTGAAAATCTTTGGATCTTCACAGATGAATTCACAATTTCTGTTCTTTTGACTTCTTATCCCTACCAACAATGACCCTGACCAATTCAACATCAGTAAAATACTAAAATATCTGTGATAAACACTTAATCCCTAAAGAATTTACTCACATATACTTGACCACCAACAAGACCTTGGAAAACAAGGGGCAAAGAAAATGAACACACAATTTACACACACATTAAAAGTAAAAATGGACTTGTGGTGGTAAACACACAACACAATATACGGATGATGTATTGTAGAACTATATACCTGAAACCTATGTAATATTATTAGCCAATGTCACCCCAATAAAATCAATTAAAAAAATAAGTGAATCATTTTACACTATTAAGCTAGCAAAAAAGAACGTACTGCTTTATCAGTATTGGGTATAAATGAAATTTGTTAAGGTCAAATTTTCAGTTTACCTGAAAAGTGTCATATCCCATACATCTCTTACCATTTTAATATATAAAAAATAGTATGATATTATGTGTGCATGTTGAATTATTTTATTTTACAGTGTTATGCACTAAAACCTGTAAAAACTGTATTAATTTCTGTCTTGACTTATACTTGCACATTTTAGTTAAAACGAAAGGCCCATAATTTGTATTAATTCCTCATTTAGATTCTGATTTGAAATTTAACTTATATTCCCACTATCGTGATTCCTTTATTTACTACCTTCTCTTCTAATATTTGATTTACCAAGAATTATCTTAATGCCAATTACATAACACCCTTGTTTAGTGACCAAATACTTCCTGAAAAACTAAGACTTTGGATCATTACACTGGGTTCTGTCTGTTGCTTAATTTTGTATTTTTACTCCATGGCATCTGACTTTCCTGGATATATTTGTCTTGTACAAGCCAATTTCTAGGTAATTTAATGTGGAAAGAGGGGCAAAGTTTAAAACAGATGATTATAGACTTAGTCAATGACAGTTCAAGTTTTAAAAGAATTTCATATACTTTCTTTCCATACATAGACATCAATATGATGGATATCCTTATAACACCATCAATGGCTAAACCTAGGCAAGATTATTCAAGAACCCCAGGACAAGTATTATCTCTCATCAGCTCTTTGGGATTTGTAAGTACTTTAAACAAAAAAACAAAAACACCTCATATAACATGCCCTTTCATGATTACCATTTAAAATTTTAAATCCTGTTGTTTTGCTGTTTTTTTGTTGTTGTTTGTTTGTTTTTTTAAATAAATGATCAAGCCGTGGCTGGTATAGCTAAGTGGATTGAGCGCTGGCTGACCTGTAAACTGAAGGGTCACTGGTTCGATTTGTAGTCGAGGCACATGCCTGAGTTGCAGGCCAGGCTCCTAGTTGGGGAGCACATGAGAGGCAACCACACATTGATGTTTCTCTTCCTCTGTTTCTCTCTCCCTTCCCTTCTTTCTAAAAAATATGTAAATAAGATCTTTAAAGAAAATGATCAAGATAAATGTAAATATCAAGCATGTTAGATTACTTAACAGTTAATCTACTCAGGTGGTATAACTGTCTTTGGTGGTGTTATTGTGAAGATCAATGTTAACATTTGTATTTGTCTTTTTAATAGCACCCACCAGCAGGTGCAGACAAAAGTGACGAATCTGCAAATATTCTTCCAACTCATGTGTCTGAAACATCAGAGCTTTCTCAAGGACTAATTTGTCCTATGTCTGTAGATCAAAAGGACAGTACTCTTTATTCTAGCAAACTACTAAAATCATGTGAGTATAAAAGAAAAGATACTTCGTTTCTAATATCAGTTTAACAATTTGAAAATACAAACATTTGAACAGTCTGTGGCATTTCTATATTTTATCATGTAGACATCATTTCCGACAGGAGTTATTGTAGATCTTTAAGTCCGCAGAACAGAACAAAATGTCTAGCTAATGAGAGATTCTTCAATTACTTATAATGATAGAACGATCATTGGGTAGATATCACCCAATGTATCCAATCTACAGAAATTTTATATAGAGAAGATGTAGTACCTGTAATACAGGTACCTATTATGTCATTAAAAATTACTTCTAAAAGATTTTTGAAATACGCCATTTAATGTGGCTCAGTGGATTGAGTGCCAGCCTGTGAACCAAAGTGTTGTTGGTTTGATTCCCTATCAGGACACATGCCTGGGTTGCAGGCCAGGTCAGGTCCCCGGGGTGGGGATGGAGGGGCATGTGAGAGGCAACCATACATTGATGTTTCTCTTCCTCTCTTTCTCTCTCCCTTCCCCTCTCTAAAATAAATAAATTAAATAATAAAATAGACTTTTGAAATAAAATAGCCAAAGAAAAGTTATAATTTTCCTAAGTACCACACAATAAAAGACAAAGTCAAATACTGGAAGAGGAGAGTGGAACATTTGATACTTGTTTGGCACATAACTTCACCCTTTATAACTTGGCAAGAGTGGACAATTTAGTTCTCTGCTTTCATGTTCTTCATCTTGGGAATGTGAATAATGGTACTTTGAAGGGTAATTACCATTAGTTGTTTTCATGGATGTTACCTCATTTTGAATTCGGTCCTCAACAAATCTGTATATATCTAGAACATATATAGTATTGTCTTCTTTTTGCCCATGAGGAAGCTAATATTTGAAAATGCTTAGCTACACACTAGTAAGGGAAAGCCAAGTCCTGATTACAAATACAATTTTCGCTTACTTGCCCTTTCCTCCAAATTCTGTAAATCTTGTTTCTTCTGTCAAAATCCACTATAAAAATGAAAATGACTGAATATGTATTTATAAATTTGATAAACAGAGACCGTCGAAACATGTAATATGCTGAAGTTACTTTATAGCCTTAGTCTTAAGGAAAAATAATTGCAGCTTTCTTAGTCATTCTTTAATCCAGTCAGAATTAGGTAGGTGCAAGGCACAGTGCTGTGGATATAAAGATATCTAAGAGACATCCTTGCCTCAAAATAAAATTTAATTTTGTGGTGATTACAGGTATAAAAGGATAACAATAATAATCCTATAAAATAAATGCCACAGAGACTTAGCTTTTATGTGACACAGAAAGTAACAAACACTAACTGGGGAAATCAGGAAAGATTCTAAATGAAGATATAGCAACAACAAAGCTATACAGGTTTTCTTTCCAGACCCAGAAAGAGAAACAGGACCTCGACAGCTCAAATGTAGTGGGAAGGGGCATTTCAGACAGAGGGACTGGCGTGAGCAAAGACATGGACGCATGGAAGTGTATTCCATCTTCACATCATAGGGACTAAGTGTGTTATGTGAGAACAAGAAGTATGTACAAGGACAAAGAAAGCTTAGCAGATAGAGAGGAAGGATCAAGTGTCATTACAGGGGACCTAGAATTTAAGCTGTTTCAAAGGCATTAAAGTAGGAAATGGTCTGATTATATCAATGACCCAAAAAGAACTCATTAGTAGATATACAGTATGCACATAGCATTTGATCAGACACAGTTCCATATTATGGGGAAAGGCAACTGAATAGTTTGGTCATATATCAAGGTCAGTGTTCAGTGAGTTTCGAGAATTCCATTGAGAGGATTTATGTACCATAAAGAAATTTGTTTTAGATGTACTTTGAGATTCTTCCAGATTTAAGGTTCTCATAAGATTTATTAAGTCACAAAACTCACGACTAAAAATTTATTTAGAATTGAAGTCGTGTTCACCCATTTTGGAAAAAGGAAAACAAGATAAATATATATTTTTATAGGGGTATAAAATCTGTATATTTTATGTATTATGATCTTTGGTAAAAGTATGATGGCCTACTGTGTCTAATTATAAGTTCAGAGCAGTAATTTTTTGCATCATTATTTATACAATAAAGGAACATGTATTATGTTGATAGTGCTGCTTTCTTCTAATAGCTCACTCTTGGCCAATTTACCATTACTTATTTGTTTTACCCAGTGGTATTAAAAGAATCCCTTACAGTTGTGAATAATTCACACTTGTAAGCACATAAACCTCAACATTAAAATAAAGCTATAGTTCTAATTAAATGCAAGTTGAACTGGGTAAATTGAGTCACATCTGTCCTCACATCACATCCGGATATAGGCCATCAACAATGCTCCTTTCTCTAGAGGAGTTTCAAATTGGGTAAAGAATATTAAAGGGATTTCTTCTTGATTATAAATTAGTTCCCTTGTCCTGATTTTTACTTTACAAATGTTGAGAGGTTCTTTTTTAACTTTCAGAACAGTATTTGTATGCCAAAAACATGAAGAGCCTTTTTTGTGGGTTGGATATGTTTATATAGAAATAGCTCTGATGAGCAATACTTGATACTTTGCTTAACTATCTGTAAAGGTTCAGGTTCAGTGAGGAACTAAGAAAGATGTGACATAGGTTCTATATTTTCTCTTCCCTCCAGGTCTTGAAACAGTTGCCTCCAACCCTGGAATGCCTGTAAAGTGTCTAACTTCTAATCTACTCCAGTCTAGGAAAAGATTGGCTACATCGAGTGCCAGTAGTCAGTCCCATACTTTTGTATCCAGTATGGAATCTGAATGCCACAGCAGCCCCAGATGGGAAAAGGATTGCCAGGTTAGAGTGAAGTTTATCTTAACCATAACCAATTATGTATGTGAAATTAATGAGAGAAACACGTTTTACCTTTTCATTTAAATTCTTTATGGAAATGAAACTGTTACATGAACAGCAGTCAAGGTAGTCTTCATTTTCCTTTACATTGTGTTAAATTCTTTTGAAATATCTATTTCTCATTCACATGCAATTTTTTTTAAGAAAATGAAGTTTTTATTCACTCTCTAAGAAAGGAAAAGTGCCTAGTATGGCAAGATACACCAGCCTGAAATTATTCTCACTTTATATAATGAGATTCCAAATTTAAAAATTTTTTGCTATAAATTGATAGAATGTTTGGCTTCTATGCATCTATATAGACTTTTTTTTCCAGTTCCCTACCATGACACAGATATTAGCTTGTTGATTTTTTTTTTAAGGTATATCTTATTTTTTAAACTCGCACTACTTCCTTTGTACTGATTTCTGCCAGTTTCTCACTTAATAGAATGGCAACTCTTTTGGATCAGAAATAACTTTTTAGACCACAAAGATAATGTAGATGTACCTTCAAAATTACCTATCCTTTCCTGGCTGGTGTGGCTCAGTGGATTGAGCACTGGACTGCAGACCGAAAGGTCGTCAGTTCCATTCCTGGTCAAGACACATGCCTGGGTTGCGGGCCAGCCCCCCAGTTGGGTGTGGGAGAGGCAGCCAATCAGTGTTTCTCTCCCTCTCTTTTTCTTTCCCCTCTCTCTAAAATTAATAAATAAATATTTTAAATTAAGTATCTATTCTAAGAAAATTGCTTGCTAAGTGAATAAATTTCCTTAGTTCTTTTACTTAATTTAAATATTCTACTTCTCCCTTTTTAAAAGCAGTTAAAACTGAGAAGAACTGAAATTTTAAATTATAATAAAGTTACTCTCATAAAATGCCAATAAAGTAATGTTAGATTACAAGAATGGTAGTAGACAAAGAATAAACCTTCCGTTTGATAAAATAATTTGGATTGTATTTGCCCCTTATTCTCAGTCTTACAATTTTCTTTATTATTGTTGGATATTTGCATTGTATAAGTAAGGTCAAATTTTTTAGTTAAGGCAGGATTTCTCAATTTTTTTCCTCCTCACCTTATAGGCTGCTTTATAGACAATATGTGTATGTTACAGAATAAACCAGATTTGCATTCCTAGTACAATTATTTCATTTCTGTCCTATTCAAGAAAGAAATATACTGTTTCCACTATACACAGCTTCACCTTGTTGCTCCTACTCCTGCATCCCCAAGGAAGGCACTGATTGCATTCTGGTGGTTCTTCTCAAGTTACAGGCAACAGAACAGCAGGGACACTGGTAGACCCTGTGCTGATCCCCAAATGTATCATTTTCTGTGCTCAAAGACCAGTGAGTTGTAATTCAGGAATTTTCTTTGATTCATGACTAAGTGCTCTGTGTTATTACTTATGTAAAAAAGTTTAATTTTCACATGTCAAAAATAGGCAGTGTTAGAATTACTAAGATTCCCTCTGAGTAACCATGTAAAAATCCTCATTACTAAGCACCAATTTGCAATATTAGGTACAAAGCTCTGATCACCCAATAGCTTCTGCACATGGTTGGAATTCAGTTTTCAAGGAAAACACTTTGTTATCAGTGTTGACAATGGATTTAACTCCTATTGTTTTTGGTTTCTCATTATAAATTACCACTAATTTATCCTTACCCTTATCAGCTTGGTTTTCCTTTACTTGTTTGAAGCGATACATGTTTCTATTAATAATATTTTTTGTCCATAATTTTCCATTAACTATATTTATATCAAGTCTTGTACATTTTGAAATTCAAAATAGAATCGTCCATACTCCTATGCAAAGCAGATATATGCATAATAGAGCCTTTCCCCAAATTTCTCTGAATATGTTGCCTGCTAATTTGTTCTATTTAAATAACATATAATACACTATCAAATAAGTATTATAGAATATTTGATTTACATTTTAGACCAATGTTTCACTCAAAATAATGTATTTAAATGTATACTAAAATTTTGCATATTGCTTTTAGTTATCTGTTATCATTTTCCTTTTGTTCCATTGGAAAGTGGGAATAGGTACCATAAATAGCTTATGGGGTTATTCATTCCACGTAAGTGGACAGAGGTCTAACACAGGTTAAAGAATCTCAGCTTTATATAACTAAAAAAAGGCCCTTCCCCTTCCCCTTAGGAAAGTGGCGAGGCACTGGGCTCTACAATGACGAGTTGGAACACGACTGAAAAGCCTTTATGTACAAAATCTACAAATGCCATCGAGACCAGAAGTTTCAATAAGAAGGATCTTGAGTTGGCCCTTTCTCCTATTCAGAACAGCGGTGCCATTCCTGCCAGTGGAAGCTCTTGTGTAAACCTTGCTAAAAAATGCTTCTCTGGGAAAGTTTCTTGGGAAGCAAGAGAACTGGATATAAATAATATTAATATGGCTGCTGACACAAGACAGTCTGGTTTTCATCAGTCGCATCAGGGGCCTGTGGATTCTGATGGTATGACTGAAGAACACCTTGGGAAAAGAAGTGTTAAGAGACCCTTTGAGTTAGTTGACTCCAGTCCTTGTCAGAAAACCATACAGAATAAAAAAAATTATACAGAGTATAAGCATAGTAATGAAATGAGAGATTGTTATACAAATCAAAGTACAAGCTTAACCACTGAAATTCAGGGCCTTAAGCTATCAGTGTATAGAAGTCAGCAAAATGACTGTGCTAATAAGGAGAACATAGTTGATTCTTTTATGGATAAACAGCACACACCAGAAAAAACACCTATCCCAATGATAGCAAAAAACCTTATGTGTGAACTGGATGAAGATTGTGACAAGCATAATGACAACTTAAGTTCTAGTTTTCTATGTTCTGATGATGATAGAGCTTCCAAAAGTATTTATGTAGACTCTGATTCATCTTTTCCTGGAACTTCTATAATGGAAAGTCCACTAGAAAGGCAGTCCTTAGATCCAAATAATAGCATCAAAGAATCTTCTTTTGAAGAATCAAATATTGGAGACCTACTTACTGTATCACTCAGCTGCCAAGAAAGTCCATTGCCAAAAGATGATGTGAACCCTGCTGTCCCAGACAGTAACCAAAAAACATTAGCGCCTTCTTCGGAGGTATTGACAACATTAACCTGCTCTAAAAGAAATGCTGTAGCTTTTCGAAGTTTTAACAGCCATATTAATGTATCCAGTAACTCAGAGCCATCCAAAATGAGCATTACTTTAGATGCAATGGATACCTCATGTGCTTACAGTGGTTCGGACCCCGTGGCCATAACCCCTACTCAAAAGGAAAGACCCTACTTCTATCAGGTATGTTATTACTTTCTAACACTTGTTCTTTGAGTTGTAGAAGAATAAATTATGAAGGCCAGACTCTTGCCTGTCCGCTAGACTATAGGATATTAAGCACGTAGTCTTGTTTTACTGGTCAGAAATTTGTGGATTGTTGAAAGTTTTAATGCAAAAAAGTAAAGCTAGTAGTCATGTATATTGTTCTTGACGACACCACCACCTTCATTTGTACTGCTCTATATACGTTCACATATTTACATCCACTTACTTATAATCACATATTTTCACTTGATCCCAGAAACAGTGAATTATAAAAGTAAAGCCTACTGTCTTCTGAGTACATACTTAGATGATCTCTTTTTTACAGAAAAAAGATGGAAGTATATATTTTAATTCTTATTTTGTTTTTATTTTCTAACCCTTTATCTTTTTTTCTTCCCTTGGAGAGACATAATATAAAAAGTGAAAACCCGGAATTTAGTTACAAAACTTGTGTTTTTTTTTATTCAGAATTCACTGGGGAACTTAGGGGCCCTTACCCTCAGAGCCTCTGTGTACCGCCTGTCTGTAGAATATAATGATACCTATCCTGCTGGTCTCACAGAGTCCTTATGGACAACTAAATATCTTAAAAACTCAAATTCCAAGTAGCACAAGAGGTTATTTTTATTTAGTTCTACTTTATGTGTTATCCTAATGTTTCAGTCATTTGTCAGCCACAGCCTCCCTTGGTGACTTCTTAAGCTTTCATTAATCTGTGCTATCAAGAGTTTTTTCTTGCTGACTTTTTAATTTTTTCTTGTGTATCCAGATCTTATTGACTATAGTTGGTGTTACCTAGCCTCTGAAGTATCATTAGGTATTCGGACTTTTTATAATAATACTTAGTTATGAGTCCTTCAAAACTGATGAAGGATTTGAGTATGTTCTTAATGCTAAGCAGCCTCACTCTTGTTTTAGCATTACTGTTCACTGTAAAAGGAATTAATTGTCTTTTAAAAACTCTTTTTAAATAGCAGACCCCAAATCAGGTCAAGTCAGGAACTCCATATCGAACTCCAAAGAGTGTAAGAAGAGGGGCAGCCCCAGTGGATGACGGGCGAATCCTGGGAACCCCAGACTACCTTGCACCGGAGTTGCTATTAGGCAGGGCCCATGGTAAGACACACGTCTTGAGTTTTTGAAGTGTTATCTATCACTACATTTTTTAAAAAGATTTTATTTATTTTTAGAGAGAGGGGAAGGGAGGGAGAAAAAGAGGGAGAGAAACATCAGTGTGTGAGAGATACATCCATCGGTTGCCTCTCACATGCCCCCAACTGGGGACCTGGCCCACAACCCAGGCATGTGCCCTGACTGGGAATCAAACCGGCGACCTGCCATTTTGCAGGTCAGCCCTCAGTCTACTGAGCCACACCAGCCAGGGCTACATTTTCTTTTGAGGTAAAATTGCTTTATGTTTTTTGGTACTTGGATTACCTGAAGTAGAAAATTAAGTCATGCAGTTTTCTCCTCTATGTGATGTTTGTTACAAGGAAAGAAGATGTGCAGTCATTTGTTCTTTGCTTCTGGTACAGTCTCAGTGATCTAAAGAAGTCCCACCTTTTGCTCCCTGGTTGTCTTTGCTCTAAATGGCTCCTCAAGTCTGTTGTGGTTTTGGTTCAAAAATACAAAGTAGCCTAAAATTCTGTCCAGTCTACATAAGACTATTTCTGTCTAGAGTGTATGTACCCTCACTTATATCCTCACCAGAAGGGCCAAGCCAGAGACAAGCTATCCTTCAAAATGCAACGTAAGAATGAAAGGATGGCTTTTCACTCACCTTATTTTCCCTTCCAACATCTAAAATGTACTGTATTTGTTTCCTGGAGTTACTATAACAAAGCACCGCAAACTGGGTGGTTCAAACAACAGGAAGTTATTGTCTGAACATGCTGGAGGCCAGAAGTTGAAAAATCAAGGTGTTGACAGTGCTCATGCTCTCTCTGAAACCTGTAGGGGAATGCTTTCTTAGCTTCTAGTGTTTGCTGGCAATCTGACATTTCTTGCATTGTAGATGCATCATTAATCTCCCCTCTTTATATGATGTTCTCCCTGTCTCTCTATGGTCACAGGGGTGTGCTCGTAAAAATGTGAGTCAAATTAAGGACCCCCCCTACTTCAATATGACTTCATCATAACCTAATGAATTATATCTGCAAGGACCCTACTTCAAATGTCAAATTCAGAGGGCCTCAGGGTTAGAACTTAAAGTTATCTTTTTTTCAAGTGGGCATAATTTAACCTACGGTATAACCCTGTCTTCTACATTTTGATATTAATCACTTCCCTTTGCTTTGGACTCTTTTATTGAGATTGTCTGTCTTATCTTCCCCACCCCACCCCACCACTTTCATTTTTGTTCCTTTGCTGACTTTTGTCCTTAGTCTAAAATTTAGCTTCCACCCTTATCTTCCCCTTACACTACCTAACTTCTCAGACCTTGCTTTTCTTTTTTTTAAATATATTTTATTGATTATGCCATTACAGTTGTTCAATTTCCCCCTTCCTTCCCCTCCACTCTGCACACCCCCTCCCCTACCATTCCCCCCTTTAGTTTATGACCATGTGTCTCAAGTTCTTTAGATTCTATATCTCCCCTACTGTTCTTGCCCTGACCCCTGTCTATTTTCTACCTACCATCTATGCTACTTATTTTCTGTACCTTCTCCCCCTTCTCCTCCTCCCACTCCCCTGTTGCTAACCTTCCATGTGATCTTCATTTCTATGGTTCTGCTCCCGATCTAGCTGTCCTCTTAGTTTGCTTTTGTTTTAGGTGTGGTTGTTAATAACTGTGAGTTTGCTGTCCTTTCACTGTTCATATTTTTTACTCCTTTTTCTTAGATAAGTCCCTTTAACATTTCATATAATAAGGGCTTGGTGATGGTGAACTCCTTGAATTTGATCTTATCTGAGAAGCACTTTATCTGTCCTTCCATTCTAAATGAAAGCTTTGCTGGATAGAGCAATCTTGGTTGTAGGTCTTTGGATTTCATGACTTGGAATACCTCTTTCCAGCCCCTTCTTGCCTGGAAGGTCTCTTTTGAGAAATCTGCTGACAGTCTGATGGGAACTCCTCTGTAGGTGACTGTCCCCTTATCTCTTACTGCTTCTAGGATTCTCTCCTTCATTTTAATCTTGGCTAATGTAATGATGATGTGCCTTGGTGTGTTCCTTCTTGGGTCCAACTTCTTTGGGACTCTGTGAGCTTCCTGGATTTCCTGGAAGTCTATTTCCTTTGCCAGATTGGGGAAGTTCTCCTTTATTATTTGTTCAAATAAGTTTTCCACTGGTGGCTGTTCCTCTTCCCCTTCTGGTACCCCTGTAATTCGGATGTTGGAGCATTTAGAGATGTCCTGAAGGTTCCTAAGCCTCTCATTTTTTTGAGTTCTTGTTTCTTCATCCTTTTCTGTTTGGTCATTTTTTTCCTCCTTCTGGTCCACTCCCTTGATTTGAGTCCCAGTTTCCTTTCCATCACTATTGGTTTCCTGTGCATTTCCCTTCATTTCAATTAGTTTAGCCTTTATTTGATCCTCTAATTTGTGACTAAAATCAACCAGTTCTGTGTGCATGCTGATCACCAATGTTTTGAACTGTGCATCTGATAGGTTGGCTATTTCTTGGTTGTTTAGATTTATCGACTCTGGGGCTCTGAGTTCCTCTTGAGCCATGTTTTGGTCTGTTCACGCCTGTTAGGTATGAGGAGAGGAGCCTTAGGTGTTCACCAAGGCGGGGCCACCCAGAGCGCTGGTTTGTGGCACTGTATGTGGGGGCGGGGGCGGAGAGGAACAATGGTGGTCCCCTCTGCCGATTCCAGCTGCTGGGGCCTGTGCTGTCTGTCTCACTGCTCGCTCCTTCACTGGTTTATCTGCACGTGAATGTGTGAGCGTGGTTAGCTTGCCGCCTTGTGCCCTCACTGGGTCCGCCCGTTGCTACCCGACGCCTGGGATCCGCCCACGGCTGCCTGTGCACCTGGGTCGGGGGATCTTTCCTGCCCAACCCTGCTCAGCTGCTGGCTCCGCCCCTCTTACCAGTCTGGCCGAATGGTTCATTGTTGTTGGACTTCCGTATAGTTCAATTTTCTGTGTTTTGGCTGCGTTTTTGTTACTAAAACTTTATTGTCTTTAAACTTGGTTGTGCAAGGAGGCACAGTGTTTCCACCTACGCCTCCATCTTGGCAGAAGTCCCCAGAGCTTGCTTTTCTTTGCTTGACCATCTTTGCTTTAGCAATCTGATTATTTGTTTATTTTTATTGTTCATTTAGAGTTGCCCCAGTTTTTCCTCATTACTCTCCCCTCACGTCCCATATTCAAACCGCCTCCCCATCCTGTTGTCTTTGCCCGCGGGTCCTTTATACATGTCCCTTGACCTGATCCTTCCCTTTTTTTCTCCACCGTTGTCCCTGTCAGTTTGTTCTTTGTTTCCATATCTCTGGTTCTATTTTGCTTACTTCTTTGTTTTGTTGATTAGGTTTCACTTATAGGTGAGATCATATGGTATTTGTCTTTCACCACCTGGCTTATTTCACTTAGCATAATGTTCTCCAGTTTTGTCCATGCTGTTGTGAAGGGTAGGAGTTCCTTTCTTCTGCTTAGTATTCCACTGTGTAAATGTACCATAGTTTTTTGATCTACTCATCTACTGATGGGCACTTAAGCTGTTTCCAGCACTTGGCTGGAATAAACATAGGGGTGCATAGGTTCTTTTTAAAAATATATATTTTATTGATTATGCTATTACAGTTGTCCCAATTTTTTTTCTCTCCTTTATTCCCCTCTGCTCTGTACCCCCTTCCCACCAGCATTTCCCTACCTTAGTTCATGTCCATAGTCGTACATAAGTTCTTTGGCTTCTCCATTTCCTATACTATTCTTAAACTACCCATGCCTCTTTTTTTACATAACAGTTATGCTTCTTATTCCCTGTACCTTTTCCCCCAATTCTCCCCACTCTCTGATGATAACCCCCCGTGTGATTTCCATTTTTGTGATTCTGTCCCTGTTCTAGTTGTTTGCTTAGTCTGTATTTATTTATTTATTCATTTATTTATTTATTTTAGGTTCACTTGTTGATAGCTGTGACATTCTTGTGATTTTACTGTTCATAGTTTTGATCTTCTTTTTTTAGATAAGTCCCTTTAACATTTCATATAATAAGGGCTTGGTTATGATGAACTCCTTGAATTTGACCTTATCTGAGAAGCACTTTATCTGCCTTCCAATTCTAAATGACAGCTTTGCTGGATAGAGTAATCTTGGATGTAGGTCCTTGCCTTTCATGACTTGGAATACTTCTTTCCAGCTCCTTCCTCCAAGGTTTTTTTTGAGAAATCAGCGAACAATCTTATGGCAACTCCTTTGTAGGTAACTGTCTCCTTTTCTCTTACTGCTTTTAAGATTCTCTCCTCTTTCATCTTGGGTAATGTAATTATGATGTGCCTTAGTATGTGCTTTCTTGGGCCCAACTTCTTTGGGACTCTCTAAGCTTCCTGGATTTGTATGTCTATTTCCTTTGCCAAATTCAGGGAGTTTTCTTTCATTATATTTTCCAAATAAGTTTTCAGTTTCTCCCTCTTCCTCTTATTCAGACACCCCTATGGTTCGGATGTTGAAAAGTTTTAAGTTGTCCTGGAGGTTCTTAAGCCTCTCCTCTTTTTTTTTTTTTTTTGAATTCTTGTTTCTTCATTCTGTTCTGGTTGAATGTTTATTTCTTCCTTCTGCTCCAAACCATTGATTTGAGTCCCTGTTTCCTTCACTTCACTGTTGGATCTTTTTATTTAACTTTTCATGGGCTTCACTTCTTCCTCTATTTCGCAACCATACTCAACCATTTCTGTGAGCCCTGATTACCAGTTTTTTGAACTCTGCATCTGATATGTTGGCTATATCTTCATCACTTAGTTCTATATTTGAAGCTTTGATCTGTTGTTTCGTTTGGACCATATTTCTTTGTCTTGATGCACCTGTTATGTAGTAAGGGGCCTTAGGTATTTGCCATGATGGGGCAACCCACATCACTACATTGTGGTGCTACATGTGGAAGAGGGGTCAGAAAGGGAACAATGCTGTTTGCTCAGCTCTCTGCTGGCTTTCAATCACTTCCCCTGCCACCCACAAGCAAATTGGGTCCCTTCCGGTGCTGATTCTCGGGTGGGTGGGTGGGTGGGTTTGTGTATGTTCTAGGACCCTGTGGGTCTCTCCAATGAACTCTCCTGTGAGTCTGGGAGTTTTTCCTGCCCCCACAGCCCCCACAGGTTTTTACAGTCAGAGTTTTTGAGCCTTTATTTCTCCATACTGAAACCCTTGGTGGTGTGGTCTGCCTTGCTCCCCAGTTGTTCCTCCCAGTTTTTTCCACATGCAAATATAGGACTTCCTGCCACCACCTCCCCTCCCCCTTTGTCCTCCAGCCGCCTCCTTGCCACCAGCCCTTCCCATCACAGCTGCCCATTTCCGCCCCTCCTACCAGTCTGGGTGAATGTTTCTTCCTTAACTCCTTGGTTATCGGACTTCTATATGGTTCAGTTTTCTGGCAGTTCTGGTTATATTTTTGTTTTTGAATTTGTTGTTGTCCTTCTTTTGGTTGTGTGAAGTGTATCTACCTACATCTTGGCTGGGAATCTCTGTATATGTTCTTTTGATGTTTCAAGATTCTTGGCAATCTGATTATTTAACTGAAACTTCTAGCAGTCACCTGTAATGTCATTATTTACAAAATACCAGCCTCATCTTAGTCTCACTCCTCCTATCTCTATTGCTACTCCTCAGTTCTTTCCTTAGCTCTTGTAAATATGGAGGTTCTTCGTGATTCTGCCCCCACCCTTTTCCCTTTCAGGTGTTCTCTGCTAATCTCATCACTCCCATGACTTCAGTTGGGCCTATGCTAATGTTTCCCAGAGACCGATCTCTAGTCCTGACTTTCACTAGGCAGCAGACACATGCCCTTAATATCTATTTAGTATTATAGATCTTGCAAATGCTGCCTGTCAAAACTGTACTTGTTATCTAGCTTTCACTTCCTCCGTTCCTTATCTCAGTTTCACCATCTTTCTGGTGGTACAGACTTTGTCCCTAGGTTCTGGCATTTAAATCTCTGAGTTGATTAGATCTCTGCAGTGTTTCTCTTTACCTTTTCGTCTCTGCCACTGTCTCTGCCTCATCTTTTCCTTTCGATTATTTAATAGCTTTCTTCCTCCGGTTTCCTCAATTTCATTTTGTCGTTTATAATCATTGCCACCAGAGTTTTCTTCTTTTTCCCCCATATTTGTTGTTTTGTTTCCCTGATTGCAAATTTTTCTACGTTTTATTCAAAAACCAATGAAAATGCTCAGATAGCCAAGCAGTTTTGCATGTTACAGTCTAGATTTGGATTCAGGTTGTTCTCTTCCTATGCCTGTACACCTTTGCCCCACTTTTCAAGACCAGAGTCTAAGATAGGAGAGACTAAAAGCGTTCCAGAAAGCAGAAGCACAAAATTCAGATTTTTCTTAATATGTAACATGATTCATGCTTCTTCCCTCCTTGAAAAACTATGGTGTCTCCTTAACAGCCACATTACTGATCATGACATGTGAAGCTCCAAGCTCTCCTACTGGCCACATCTCTCAAAGAGATTCATGTTTTGGCCTTATAATCCCATTCCACCTCTTAGACACAATATTTTCAGATTTTCCTTATTTTGCACAAGTATTTTGCCTTAGTTTAAAAAAGCCAGTCCCCAATCATCTTCATGTTAAATTTCTCCTCATTAATGATCAGTTTAAGTGTCATCTCTTCCATGAAGTATCCTTTAACCAGTTATGGAGATTTACTTTTTCATTGCCATATCACTTACGTAGAAACTGTTTAGCCCTGTCCAGATTGCTCAGTTGGTTAGAGCATCATGATAATGCACCGCAGTTGCAAGTTCAATCCCAAAAGAAACTATTTAAAACTTAATGTCATTCTACCTATGTTATAATAATTATTTGTTATATTTTTCTCTACTACCAAAGCCTAAGAAAGTTTCCTAAGACTAGTGTCTAAGGTTTCCCTATAGATAGCACTCCATGAGAATTCCTGAGCAGCACTCAGCACTGTTCTGAATAATCTCTACCTTGTTGCAAGTGGACACACTTAATATTCCCCTTTATTAGCCAAAGCAACTAAGTTCCTCTGGGCACTTAACTTATTTATGTACAGTGTCCTTTTTGCCAAGTCACAGATTTTCTAGGCCATTTACTATATTATAATTTGTATGTTGTCTAACTTAGGATACAATATGAGAGTAAGCTTCAAATGTAAAGATTTACTTGATTGGATCTTGCCACTATTTTAGTGAGACATCTAGTTACCTCAGCTATCTAGTGATATAGTTTTAAGTTTTTATTTTCTATAAAAGTAATTTAATACATAGTTTATAAAATTTATAATCAAAAGGGGGAAAAATCAACTCCCTATTCCCTACCTCTCCCCCCAGACCCCAGGCCCCAGGGGGAAGTCCCTTGGCTCCTGTGCTTCATCCTGCATGTGTGCCTCTCTGTTTCCCAGCACCATGCTGAGGCACAGCTACGGCTCCTCAGATGCCCTCCACGGTCTTCCCCTCAACAAGCAGACTTAGCAACTCTGGCCAGAGTCTCCGTAGCTTCTTGTGCATGTATCTGTTTCATTCTCTTAGCATTGTGTGAAAATTATCTGTATCATCGCTCCCAAAGTAGGCTATTTTCTCCTGAGAAAAAGCTCTCTTAATCATCTTTGTACCCCTTATATCTGACACAATCCCTAGCATCTAGTTCAATGAATGATGTGAGAATGAACTCATAATTTGAATACAATGTACCTAACTACTCTTTTCTTATATGCAGGATTTCTGGCTTCGGGTGAGTGAGCTCCTTTTTATGGCAAAGCATAATAAACTGAACAGTCAAAGTATAACTAGATCACGTGGCAGGAAAAAAATTTTTTTCATTTCGGCCCAGATATGAAATATAAAAATGAAGTGTCTTCTGTTTTCTGAATAGGAAGACATCCACAGAGGCTGCTTTTCTCTGAAAACAAATGTGGGCATCTGACATTTTTTATGACTTTTAAAGGCAGCAGCGGAGAGTGAAGATGTGGCTGTTTTTTAATTGCAACAGAGGAAATGGGCTTGATAAAAATATTAGAATTAATAGTTACAAAAGGGCTGGAATTTCATAAACCATTTAATTCCATTATTATTAGAAAATAGGCATAAAGAGTATCAATATACATATTATAGAAGTGGGTTGTGAATTAGCAAGTAATGTAAAGTAAGTTCTCTTTCTCTGGCTAATGCTATAATTGCTAGGATCGATGACAATATATGATCTTATTAGACTTTGACTCACATATATGGATATGTGTGCCATAGCCATGGAGAAAGCATATATGTTTTTGACATGACTACATTTTGGCTAAACTGGGAAAAGGGTCCTAATTTCTAACTTGAGTAAAAGAGATAAAATTTATGGCTTTTTTCCTGATTTCCCTCTACTTTCCTGCTATATCCCTGCAGGCAAAGTATATCCTCTACTTTCCCTGCTACTTTCCTTCGACTTTCAGTTATATCATCGAATCAACTGAAATACTTTCTCAGTGCTGCTTAAAAGATCTCCTAACTGAGGTGGTTCTTATGTTTCTATAGTGTTACTATAGAAACATACTATTACTGTTTGCATCCTGTGTTCTCAGGGAAAGCGGGGTTATCGGCTCGCAGGTGACCAGGCATTCCACGTGCATGTGACTGTTTTTCCTAGCGGTGGGTTCCACAGTGCTTTCCTGCTTGTTATGAAATGGGAGGGTGGCAGTTGCTAAACCACAGTAACAGTTTGTCAAATTGCATTTAAAGAGTGATTTCCAGGCACATGTAGGACTAGACTACAATCCCTGTTCTAGGTTTCTATTGAAGGTAGCCTTCTATTGAAGGTTCTATTTTTGAACCAAAGTTAACCTTTGCTCAGTAAACACCTTATTCATAGACAGAACTAAACAAAAGCGTACACCAGACTATACAGTCATGTTTCAAATAATTCTTTAAAACATCTTGGTATAGAAATGGTGCTTTCAGTAAAGATATTACTTAGAAACCAAGTTTTTAAAATTTATTAAGACATATCCTAATTACCTCAAGCTATAGTTTAAGTGAATATTCTTTGTTAAACTAATTTGTCCCTCTGTGATCTTAAAAGGAATAAAGCCCATGGAAACACTCTGTAAGTACAGCTTTCTATAATTACCAGACTACCTGCCAATTAGTATAAATGTTGATACCTCATCTCATACCTTTGTGAAATTAGTGGAACATGGAATTGTCTTTAATGTTATTTCCCAATTTGAAATTGAGAAGTGCTGTGACTGTTTTAGAGAATAATCTTTAGATTAAATGTATTCCTTGGTTGTGTTTCAGGATTTTGAACAAGTAACTATCCAGAATATCAGAAGCTATTAATAAATGACCAAAGAAAGCTTTAACGTTCCTTTACTAGCTGCATTAATTACTGATCTAAACTTCTTAGGAAATAAAGAAAGTAATTGCCATATTGCATGACCGAAGGTCATTTGACTTTTTGTACCTGATGAAGCCAGAAGTAAGCCTGAGGAAATGAATGCCTTGATTGTGCCCAAATGTCCATGTATTAATGGTCTAGCTGATCAAACATTTGTTGAAAATGCTTGCAAGTTCAACTACTTCCTCTTAAATTCCAGGTCCTGCAGTAGATTGGTGGGCACTTGGAGTTTGCCTGTTTGAGTTTCTAACAGGAATTCCCCCTTTCAATGATGAAACACCACAACAGGTATTCCAGAATATTCTGAAAAGAGGTGATTCTTTTTCTCCTATTAAGACAGATTAATATATCTCTGTGTATTATTTTGAGCAGTGATCAAGAGACTTATTCATATTTGTAGATATCCCTTGGCCTGAAGGTGAAGAAAAATTATCTGATAATGCTCAAAGTGCAGTAGAAATACTTTTAACCATCGATGATACAAAGAGAGCTGGAATGAAAGGTAAGGTTTTGTATTAATAAACCCTTTTACCCTTGATTTTGTTTCAGCAGGTGAATGTTAATACTGATACAAAGTTCTAGTACAGTGCTATAGATAATCTGACTATTAAATTAGTTTAAAAAGAATTTTAGTTTATTTTTGCCCTCCAGGTATTCATTGATACATTTGCCCTTATTGTACATTAAAATTTAATGTGATCAGGTTGTGATAGTCACTCACTGAATTTTAACCTCAAGTAGGTACCTGAAACAATTTTATCTTGTCACTGTCTTAGGTTTATCAGGGCCTGATAAAGTTAATGATCCACAAATACAAGAAGTATTTTTTTTTACCAAAATTGTAAATCTATAATGTCTAACTGCTTCATTTGTGATACTGTTATTGATTGATAAATGTATCAGGTGCCAGGTTACATTTTGATCCATTCAGTGGATTTTTCCCATTGAAGGGGATATATTAGACTACAGTTTTGAACCTCTGGTAAATCTTATCAGCTGCCTAAGACCCTGTTTTTCCTAGGATATAGAGACAAATAAACATTATGTCACAGAGTACATTTCCATGTGTAGTAGGAGAGTATGTTTAGAAAATTTAGCTTTACTAATATGTCATTTGCATCAGCTTCTGGGTGTTCTCTCTAATAAGATCCATTGTTTGCTTGTTTGTTAGTTTAACAAATGCTATAGAGTGACTTCTAGGTGCCATACAGTATTGTTACAGGTGCTAGAAGTTCCCTACAGATGACCCAGACTAAAATCCCTGTGATTTTATATTGTAGTGGAAAGATAGAAAGTAAATAAATACAACCATGACATAATGCCATCTAGTTGTAAGTGCCATGAAGAAAAATAAAGCAGAGTGAGAGAATACAAAGTATGGCAGGGTTTTTTTACATCGATTGGTCAGTAAGACCTCTGTGAAGAGTGGAATTTAAGCAAAAGCCTGTGTAAAGTGAGGGTACAGACAACTGAGCTCTAACACTTACCTTAGAAGGATTCTCGTTCTGTCCTTTGCTCCGCAAAGGCCATTTGGTATTGTCTGGAGCTGTTTTGGGTTGTCACAACTGTGGGGGACGTCCTACAGTGCACAGGACAGTCCCCACAACAAAGATTTGTCTGGTCCCAAAGGTCAGTTGTGCTGAAGCTGAGAAACCACTGGTAAATTACTATAATATACTGTGATTTGCTTAAATTAAGTAGAGACAGAAGAAAAGTACCCTTACCATAACCTCAGATTTTTGTTTGTTCAGTGAACAGTTCACATAGTGAAGCCAATGGTAGGGGTATTCTTCAGTCAAAAAACAGCGGCTTCAGCTGTTTGTTTAGTTCATCTTAACCTAGATTAGAACTTGTTCTAGATTCAGTTTAAATGAATAGCTATTATGGGAAGGTCCTGAAGCATCACATCACATCCAGAGATCACAGTTTAAGAGTTACTACAATAAGTAACTCTAAAGTAATCCATGCTTAGGCATGTATTTTGAAAAATTAAAAGACGAGTTTTCTAAACCAAAAGTGCCTTTGCATTTTTATCTCTCTTCCTACCAGTCTTTCCGAGGAGGAAAGGGGCCACGGGCAGACACACCGTTTTCCCATCGCGCCAACCCCCAGTGCAGACCCATGATTCTTTGTCGTCTGTGTAGTCTTCTCCCAATACTTCCCTCAAATTTGGTTGCTGATTTTTTTTGGTTGCTGTTTGCTGCCTTAATTGCCACTTCCTGTTTTTGTCAATGTTTTTATCGTTGCTTTATGGAGTAAAGGATTGAAAGGGGAAGTTAGGTCTTGTAATGAAATACCACAAAGTGATCAAAAGAGCATATTTTCATTTTTGCCTGTAGAAGGAAATAAATAGGAAAGATGATAGGTACTGAAAATGTAGCTAAAGAGATGAGCAAAGTTGAGATTTTGTAAGTGGAAGCAGTATTGCTAGATGGTTAGTCGGTGTGTTGTGAAGATGCAAGTCAGTGACATCCTATATCAAGTGATGTACAAAATGATGCAGAGTGTGTCATAGAGAAGGAAGTAACTGAATAGAAGAACAGACAAACTAATGCCTATGAAAGTGGCATAATACAGTAGGGCAAAATAGATGTGTGGCAGTGTCCTTCATTCCTGCAGAAGAGTACTTGTTCAGGTAACGGTGTCATGATATTCTGTTTTGTTTTATATTTTTCTAAAGAGCTGAAACATCATCCTCTCTTCAGTGAGGTGGACTGGGAAAATCTGCAGCATCAAACTATGCCTTTCATACCCCAACCGGATGGCGAAACAGATACCTCCTATTTTGAAGCCAGGAATAATGCTCAGCACCTAACTGTATCTGGATTTAGTCTATAGCACAGAAGTCTGCCCTTTAAGCTTACCTTGTCTATAGGATAAGCTAGCATATTTATATACTCCTTAATACTGGATTGATTTAAAGGGGAGGAAATCACTTTCCCTGGATCAATGAGCTTTCAATATATGTTACAGCTTCCACAGAGGTAAAAGGCTATCAAGAATATTATCAATAATTTATCTTAATCTCAATGTTGTATATAAATCTTCAAAGCTTCTTTCATCTTATTTATTTTGTCACTGCACTTTATGCAAGTTAATGCAACAATAAAACTAGAATGGCACTACCACTTTAGAGGAAGTGAGACTTATGCTTGATTTTCTTTCTCATCTGTTGATTTCAGTCCACCATTCAGTTTGGTGTTAAAATAACAAAACGCCGTACAAGTTCATCTTAATGTAACTTATTTATTTATACATGATTGCCTGCAAAAGCTGTAGTCTCAAAGGCAATCCTTTAAGAATGCATTTGTGACCTCAAAATGCAGCTGTGAATTTCCTTCACCCAGTAGTACAGCTTCTGGGGGGAATGAGGGATGAACAAAAGGACTTTGGTTTTAGCTTACTTTTTATGAATACATTTTGCTATCTGGACTGCTTCTCATACTTTCTGTACGATACATAATTGTTTAAAATAGTACTAGAAAGCTTAGGTGGGATATACTGTAGCAATTTTAACAGCTTGTTCAGTTTTAATAAAACATGATGGTTTACATCTTAAAATAATTTGTTTAAAACATAGGCAGCATTATCAGAGACAGCCTGACCCTTTATGAAAAATTTACCTTGGCTTAATAAATATAATTGTAACATACTTCAAGTATATTACTTGTCAACGTCATTCTTTTATACACACACACACACACACACACACACACACAAAGATTCAGCTTCACAGGTCATATGTTAAATTCATTGAGGCTTTCAGCATACTTACCCCATAACAAAGCAAAGTTCAAACTTAAATGTACTGTATGTAAATTTGCTGCTAATCTATTTAGTACTGTTGTTCCTTTTGCACTTGGATTTATGTTTTTACTTTCCATTACTGTCCCAGAAAGAGCCCTGCTAATCTAGTTGAAAAAGCTAGTACAAGTGTAAAACTTACAGTGAAAAACAGACCATTATAATTATGCTATATAATTGAATCCAAGGTTTAATATTTTTACTGAGCTTGTTTTAGTAATAAGTACTTCAATTTAATGTTCCTTATAGTCACTTCTTCTAATAAAGTATTTTAAATAAGTTATTAAAACTTTGTTTAATATATATTAAATCTTTCCCTAAGGTAAAAACATAGGATAATTTATTGTTCTTATATGGCATATGTATATTTTTTATCCTCACCCAAGGACACTTTTCTTCATTTTGCTTTTTTAGAGAGAGAAACATTAATGCGAGAGAAGCTTTGCTTGGTTGCCTTCAAACACACCCAGACTGGGGATCAGGAATTGTACATGTCTGAACTGGGGGGTCGCTCTCATTTGTACCCGGACTGGAGATGAACCTGCAACCTAGATGTGCTCCCACCAGGAATCAAACCCACAACCCTTCAGTTACTGGATGATGCTCTAACCACTGAACCACACCGGCCAGGGTTCTTTTATAATATTTTTAAGTAGTAGGAAGAATAGTGGCTGTGGGATCAAGCACAAAAAGTCTAAGCTACTGCTCTACCCCATAAAAATTTAAAATAACAATAGGATTTAAAAATAAATAACATGGATCAAATCATTTCCTTATTAGAATTGCCCAAGATCCCAGTACTATCAAGTACTTGAAACATTACTGAATAATTGGGAAAACGTACAGGGACCCTATTCCCAAGGCAAGTGCCCACGCCATTCAGTGGAAGTTTGCAGTCACAGACCTAGCATGTGCAGCCATTGTCACCTGGAACTGTGCATGCTACAGTGGTGTTTACAGGGAACAAGTGATTGATTATCTAAACTTAAACCCTTAATACACCTGTCAAGGTGTGGGTTCAGAAACTGGTTAAGGAAAAACCTGAGGCTTCCAGTCAACGTGGCTGAGTGGGTGACCTCAGTACTTTCATACTCCCAAACTACATCAAAATTAACAACTAAACTAAACAACCATCATTGAGAACACCTGAAGTCTAACTAAACAGAGGTCATAACTAAGGATATCCAGAAGCCACATCTGAGACTGGTAGGAGGAATAGGCAAATCACACACCCACATGTAGCAGTTAAAAACAGGAAGGGAGCCCTAGCCAGTGTGGCTCAGTTGGTTGGAGCACTGTTCCATATACTGAACAGTCACGGGTTCAATTCCCGGTCTGATCACATGGCTGGGTTGTAGGTCTGGTCCCCAGTCAGGGTGCCTACAAGAGGCAACCAACTGATGGATGTTTCTCTCACATCAATGTTTCTCTCTCTCTCTCTCCCTTCCTGCCTTTCTATAAAACAATGAAGGAATGCCCTTGGGTGAGAGAAAAAAGGGATATTTCTGCTGCAGATGTTCATGATGAGCCTCCCAGTCTCATCTCCATACTAGGATCTCCATGGCAGAGCCTCGGTGCCAAGAAGTCCCTATAACTTCTGGCTGTGGAAACCAGTAGACATTGTGGCTCAGTGAGATGGAGGGTGCCTGGAGAGCCAGGAATTCCTCTGAAAGGGACCGTGCATGGACTTACTCAGACTCACCTGAGCTCTAGCCCTGGGGCAAAAGCTTGAAAGGCTGCAGGGACATATGGGAGGAACTAAACTGTCTGGCTTCAAGGCGAGGGCTCCAGGTGCAGCTTTCTCCCAGACAAGTGCTGGCAGAGGCCACTGTTCCTTTGTGAGCTCTACCCCTGACAGTCCCAGAGCCATTTCTGAGTCTCCGTCTACCTAGCTAACGCTGTTTGTCCTGCCTTGGTGATTCCCTAATCCAACCCCATGTGTGGATTACTCAAGGTGATTCCAGTGGCATTTCCATACAAACTGCCTGTCTTGGCTCATGCTCAGACTCTTACTCAAAGGTACACAAACCCCAGACAAGCAACAACTGGCCTCAGCCCTGTACCTATTGCTAAACAGCCCCAAGCCTAGAATTAACGGCAGTTAGCCTTGGTTCGCAGCTTGGCTCTCCCAGACACCTCTGAGCCTAGACCAAGTGGCAGCAATCTGTAGCTCACTTTGTAGCTCAGGTCATTTGACCCAGACAGGGCACAGGCAGTGGTTGACCTTGGTCTATACCTCCTAGGAAGCCCCTGAGCCCGAGTGTGCCCAGAGGACAGCTTCAGATTACACCAGAATGCCACCTAACCTCCTCAACTAGCAACATATTCAAAGGGCTAACTCAGCTGGCACCAGAGCCCTGCTGAAGTGAGTCCTGGTCTATGGGGTGCAAAGGTCTGTTGGTTGCTGCATAGCAACTCTTCCACTGTAACCACCACAGGTCCTTGCAGACAAATTTCCTGTGAGTCAGTGCCTTCCAATGGTGTGCTAACAGAAATCAAGGCTCAACTACAACAGATGGGTACACACAGTGCGCAAAGAAGGGGTGCACCTGGGGTGCCCCACACAGGTGACCAGGGAGGCTGCTCCACTCAGGTGACCAGGGAGGCTCCATAGGACACCTACTGCATAAGGCCACTCTACTAAGCCTGGGAGATGTAGCAGCTTTACTGACTACATAGAAAAAAACACAGGGAGGCAGTTAAAATGGGGAGTCAAACATGTTCCAAATGAAAGAAAAGGACTAATCTCCAGAAAAAGAACTAAACAAAATAGACTTAATTTACCCGATGCAGAGTTAAAAACACTGGTTATAAGGATACTCAATGAACTTAGAGGAAGAATAGATGAACTCAATGAGAACTTCAAGAAAGAGGAAACAAAAATGGAGATTTTTTAAAAAGCCAGTCAGAAATGAAGAATATAATAACCAAAATGAAGAATGCACTAGAAGGAATCAACACATTGGATGGAGCACAGGATCAAACTGATGATTTGGAAGACATGGTAGAATAAAACTCCCAACCAGAATAGCAAAAGGAAAAAAGCATCCAAAAACAATGAAGACAGTTTAAGGGGCCTCTGGGATGACATCAAACATACCAACATTTGCATCATATAAGTGTTGGAAGAAAAAGAGAACAAAGATTGAAAATTTGGGAGCAATAAATGAAGGAAAGTTCCCCAACTTGGTGAAAGTCATAGACACACAAGTTCAGAAAGTGCAGAGAATCCCAAACAAGATCAACCCAAAGAGGCCCACAGCAAGACACATTGTAATTAAAATGCCAAAGGTTAAAGACAAAGAGAATCTTAAAAGCAGCGAGAGAAAATCAGTTGGTTACCTACAAAGAGCTCCTATAATACTGTCAGCTGATTTATCAATAGAAACTTTGCAGGCCAGACAGGTTTGGCAAAAAATACTCAATGTGATGAAAACCAAGAACCTACAAACAAGATTACTTAACTCAGCAAGGCTATCTTTTAGAATCAAAGGACAGATAAACAGCTTCCCAGATAAAGAAAAGCTAAAGGAGTTCATCACCACCAATCTAGTACTACAAGAAATGTTAAAGGGTATTTTTTGTTTTTTCTTTAATGATTTTATTTATTTATTTCTAGAGGGGAAGGAAGGAAGAAAGAGGGAACATTGATCCACACCTCCACTAAATGTTCAACAAATAAAAATAAACATGTTTGAAGAGGTACCTTGGTGTACTTTTGTCAGAATTAAGATTCATGCATAGCAAACACAAAAGGTTAAGTGATCACTATTTGAATCCTAAGTACCCTGCTAATTAGAGTATTTGTCTTAATTTTGGATTTGAGAAATTGTCACTATATAAAACCTTGCCATTATTCTCCAATCCATCTTGAAGTACATTCAGGCATAATCACTTTGCCAGAAAGGACCACCTTAATCTTAGCCAAATACAAACATACTTAGAGTCCAAAAGTTTGTGCAAACATACAATGTTTGCACCAAGTCTCATTTTAATTAATACCAAGCCAGTTCGGATGTGTCATTATTATACCTGTGGGCAGGGTGATTTTTGAAGGAAGGAAATTGAATAGTAAGCTATTCAATTCGCCCTGAACCAGCCAACCTGAATTCAAGATGTATTTTTGAGATAGAATCGATGGGATGAGGTGGGTGAGAGAATGGGAAGAACCAAGTTTGACACCTAGTCTCTGAGTTGAGCAGCTGGGTCAATTTTGCTACACCCTGTAATGGAGTGAGGGACAGGATTGGTTAACACATTAAGTCTGACACATCTGCAAGACATCCAAATAATTCAAGAAACCAGTTAGACTTCTAGGTAAAAAATGGTAGATTGAATAAATGCAGGCTTCTTTCTTGAAACATGGCTAAAAAGGACAGAGTTGTTTTTTGTTGTTGTTGTTTTGCTTTTCTGGGTAGAGTTTGTGTGTGTGTGTTTAAAGCATACATCAACATGGAGGTTTTATATGTCTAGAAATTTTCTTACATTCTTCCCACAAAAAGTGGAGTTGAATTCCCTTTCTCTGGATTACGGGCCACCTTAGTAACTTGTTTGTAATGAAGAAAGTGGTGAAAGTGGCCCTGCATGGATTCCAAGGCTAGGTTAGAAAGGGCAACATAGCTTCTGCTGGGCTCTCTCTTTGGGACACGCACCTTGGGAGTCTGAGCTAAAGACACGCTGCTGAAAACAGTTTATTTATATATGGAAAAGCACATATAAATAGAAATATCTCCCTGGCTGGTGTCACTCAATGGATTGAGTGCTGCCCTGCAAACTGAAAGGTCACAGGTTGAATTCCTGGTCAGGACACATGCCTGGGTTGTGAGACTGGCTCCCAGTTGGGTGTGCAAGAGGCAA